ATATATATATATATATATATATATACATATATATATATATATATATATATGATTTATTTTTGTTACAAAACACACAATTAACTTAGAATATGTCATTATTGTTAATTTTATTTATTTATTTTTTTAAATAAAAATTATAAACACTGGGGAAAACTGGGAGGGCGGCGCCCTATCGCCCTCTACTGGCCAGCCGCCACTGCTGCAGAGCACCAGTTGTTGTTTACATAGAGACATACACCGCCGCCATGTTGCTTCCCAGTGCATTCGTGGTCTCTGTTCAGGCGAAAAGGTGGTGAAAAGCCATCAATGTGCAGTGTGCTGTCATCATCACTGTCATTTAACCATGACTCCGTGAAAGCCAGAACAGAAGCAGTTTGGTACTCGTGCAAGTGGTTGACGCAGGCTTGCAGCTAGTCTAGCTTGTTACGAAGAGAACGGACATTAGCCAGGATAATGAACAGGAGCGCTCGTTGTTTGTGTGTTTCCCTCTTGAGTCTCGCTCTCACACCACCCTTCTTTAATCCCCTCCTGTTTACCTTGTTTTTATGAGTTGTCAAATTTCCGTGTCCACAGAGTATTTCCTCGGGAAAGAAATCCGTAGGTAAAGGCGGAAAGGCTGTTGTCCGGGTTGCCGCTGCCGATGAATGAGGAAGTCTCTGGTATAGCAGAGCCTTGGGGTCATGATCCAAAATAAAGAAAAACACAGAAGGAGCGATAGAGTTGAAAAGATAAAAGTTAAAAAGTTTAAAAGTTTAAGAAAGATTGTTTAAAAAGTTAAAAGAATGCCATAACTGCTCAGCTGTCTGGCCGGTCGACCGCACGAGCAGCGACCAGGCTGATGTTTTCAGTTATTTCACCTTTTTTGCTTAAGTACATAACTCCACATCACCCACTTACTTTTCAAGACAACATTTTAAAGCCGTACTTTGCAACTTATTCATATTTAGGAACCATTTTCTTGAGCCAGTATGTGCTAAAATGGTCCTTTACAGGGTTTATGGTAAATGGCCTGTTTGATACAGCCTTCTAGAGTCTTTGAACCTCCCATGGCGCTTTACAACACAATCATCTTACATTAAAAAACCAATTAGTTATAGTTACAACTTCTTTTTCCCAAAAGCAATTGAGTTAGTAACTCAGTTATGGTAAAAAGTAAATAGCCTGTATTTGTATAGCACCTTCTTAGGGTTCTGCAATCCCCAAGGCACTTCACAACATAATCAGTCATTCACCCAGTCACACCCACCTTCACACGCCGGTGAGGATGAGCTACGATGTAGTCACAGCTGCCTGGGGCGCACTGAAGCGAGGCTGCCGTGCACTGGTGCCACCGTTCCCTCCGACCACCACCAGCAGGCAATGGGGTTAAGTGTCTTGCCCAAAGATACAATGACAGCGACAAACTGTAACAGCTCGATCCTGCAACCTTCCGATTACGGGGTGAACACTTAACTCCTGAGACCCAACCAACCTCTGTGGCCAGAATACCGGATTTGCAACTTCAGAATGGTGGGCCGTTGGGACTTAGAAAAAGTTTGGCTCATATACCTGGCAATGCAGTCAGATTCCAGCACGTTTCCTGCATGTTTATGAACACAGCTGATTTGTTTAATTAAGTGATGAATCACTCCTGCAGACACTAATGAAGGCTGGGGAGACATTTCAGTTGTTAGATTGAGGTGTTAAAAGGACAAAGGTAGGGAAGGTAGACACCATCAGACGTAACATTTTTTCCACCCAATGTCATGCTGCTCCCGATCAATCTGAGAGTGTGTGTCTACCTGAGGAAACACTGGACAGTTTTGTCTTGGTTGAAGTTGAGACTATTGATAAAGTTTTCTCCTCAGTGAGGCCTACCACGTGTGTTCTGGACCCTATCCCCACAAGGTTTTTTAAACAATTTTATGACTCATTTAGAGATGAGATTTTAACTTTGATGAGCTGTTCCCTTCAGACGGGGGTCTTTCCTGCTGCTTTTAAACGGGCGGTGGTCAGACCCCTGTTGAAGAAGAGCAATTTAGATTTTAATGACTTTAACAATTTCCGACCGGTATCCAACTTACCATTTTTAAGCAAAATTTTAGAGAAGCTTGTTTTAATACAACTTAATGATTTTATCAACCACCAACATGTCCTAGAGAAATTTCAGTCTGGTTTTAGGGTGAACCACAGCACTGAGACGGCCCTTCTGAAGATTTTAAATGATTTTAGAACAAATTATGATGCTCGGAGGGCAACAGTGTTGGTTCTGCTGGATCTAAGCGCTGCCTTTGATACAGTAGACCACACTATTCTTTTAACCCGTTTAAAGCAGATCGGCCTCTCTGGTGTTGTTCACAGTTGGTTCACTTCCTACCTCACAGACAGGACTTTTATGGTGAGTCTGGATACCTGTTCCTCTGGGGTCCACAGCATCACATGCGGGGTGCCTCAGGGATCAATTCTAGGCCCAGTACTTTTTAACCTCTATATGCTCCCTCTGGGCAGCGTCATCAGGAGACATGGGTTGAATTTCCACAGTTACGCTGATGATACACAGTTGTACATCTCCGTGTCTCCTGATGACGCTCAACCAATGGAAACACTTTTTAATTGCATTTTAGATATTAAATCATGGATGACTGAAAACTTTCTCCAGCTCAACCAGGGCAAAACTGAAGTTTTAGTCATCAGTCCTGAGGCCCAGAGAGAGAAACTTTTACCTAAACTACAGTCAATGTCTTTTTATCCATCACTACAAGTGAAGAATCTGGGTGTTATTTTCGACTCTGAGCTGACTTTTATCCCCCACATTAAAAACATCACAAAAATAGGTTTTTACCATCTTAAGAATATCGCCAGAGTCCGCCCCATTCTCTCTCGGGCCAATACGGAGACGCTAGTGCATGCTTTTGTAACTAGTAGAATTGATTACTGCAATGCCCTGCTTTCTGGTCTTCCCAAAAAGAGCATCTCAGGTTTACAACTTTTACAAAACTCAGCAGCACGTGTCCTGATGAAGACCAGGAAGCGGGAGCACATCACTCCGGTTTTAAAATCACTGCACTGGCTCCCCGTATGTTTCAGGATTGATTTTAAGGTTCTTTTAATGGTTTTTAAGTGTCTTAATGGTCTTGGGCCTTCTTATCTTTCAGAACTGCTTTTACTGTATAAACCCTCGCAGTCTCTGCGCTCCTCTGGCAGCCGTCTCCTAGTTATCCCTAAAGTTAGGACTCACACCCACGGCGAGGCGTCCTTCAAGTATTACGGCCCTCGCCTTTGGAACGGGCTGCCGGAGGACCTCAGGTCCAAAGGGAACATCCAGGCTTTTAAGAATAGGCTCAAGACCCACCTTTTTAGCTTAGCTTTTAACTGATTACTATTTATCTATAAATACATATTTATCTCTTTTATTATTTTTATCATTTTATCTACATCTTAGTGTTTTTACATGATTGTTTTCTTTTACTATCTTTATAATCACTTTTTATCAGTTACTTTTTATCATTATTAGCTTTTATTATTTTATATGTTATATATCTTAAATACTCCAGTGTTTCCTCTGCGGAGCCCTCTGCCTTGGGGCCGGTGGTCAGGGGCGGCGGCGGCCGGGGCGCTCCCCAGGTAGTGCCCGGGCACTGGTGGGGGTTTCTGCCCTACGCCACTGGGCGTCATGGGCCGGTGTCTTGGCTGCTGCCGTGGATCTGTTGCTGTCAGGGCAGATGGCTCCGCTGATGATGTGTCGTTCATTACCTGACCCATCTGAACTCAGCCTATTGTTTCCTCTGGTGTTCACGAGTGCGTGTGTGCGTGTGTGTGTGTGTGCGGGTGATTGTATGTCCACTTTGGAAGTTGGGTGCGGGAGGGGAACTGTAATTTTTAATTGTTTTGTACTTGGGGAGGGGGGCTGGGATGGGAAAGTGGGATCTATGGGGCCATTTTAATCTGTAAAGCACTTTGAGTTGCATTTTTTGTATGAAAAGTGCTATATAAATAAAGTTGATTTGATTCGAAACGTGCAGCGAGGAAATGGGTTTCATTCTCGGTTTGACCATGAAGAATTAAGAATGGACACTGGGGATGCTAAATACAAGCAAAACAGTTTTTTTCTATTCATTTACTACATCCATTTGTTTGAAACTTCCTTGTTCTATAAGTTTTGGTGTGAAAAGTTCCCTTGTAACAATAAAATATATATTTGTGGCTTTCTCCACATTTAACAGCCATTAAAACACTTATGTTTCCTTTTCAGACTTTGAGTTGCATTAATTTACTATTTTTCCCTCTCTCTCCTTTCAAACCAGTTGTGTCCTGTATAAGAATTTATAATTTTAAAGACGCTTTTTCTACTTCATGGGTCTGTGTAACAGTTAATCAGTTTTTGTTTTATTGAAAGGACTTAGAATTTTTTTATTTTAATTTTTGATTGTATTTTTTAATCCTTTTAGTTCATCTTTAGAAAATTTTGTATTATTATTATTATAATTGTTTTATTTTTATTGTTTTATTATTATTATTTAATACTTTTAAAAATGCATCGTGCTTGCAAAGCACCTTGTGATTTTTATCTTGAAAGGGACCATTCAAAAAAAAACATTCCTCTTCATTGTCTTAAGACTTAGTTGGGATTTATCGAGGTGGTCTTGTCTGCATGTGGCTGATGAGTCGCTGCCTGTTATTTTGGTGTTTTTAATTTGTGGTAATGTGTGGAGATGATTTGTATAAGTTAGTTGGATTTGCAGGATAAGTTAAATTTTAATCATTGTTTGACGAATGATCTTAAGAATAGAAGCAGAAATGTTGATTTTATTGCTTGATTGGGAAACATTATGATTACAATCCAAGTAAGCTGTCTAGTGGATCTATTTTTATTTGTCTGAATTAGAAATAATGATTTTTTTTTTGCTACGATTGATAAAAGTCTAATTTTTCAGAAAATTAAAACCACAAAAAAGGAAGGAGGGTAAACAGAAATCTTTTTCAATGTTAACAGGTTCTTGTTCTGTAATGTTTTATTTCAGGCATCATCCATCAGATGAAGGGGGAGTATGAAACGGCGCTGAAGCTCCACAAAGCCCACCTGTCCATAGCTCAGGAGCTGGCCGACTACGCTGCTCAGGGGAGAGCTTATGGTAACATGGGCAATGCCCATCATGCACTCGGTAACTACGACCAGGCAGTACGGTACCATCGACAGGAGCTGCAGATTTCTCTGGAGGTGAACTCTCACATCTTCCTTTGTGGCATTCTAATTGAAATCAGACATGGAACGTTGTCCACACCATATGTTTTACAGGTGCACGATCGTCAGTCGCAGGCCTCCACACACGGTAATCTGGCCGTGGCCTACCAGGCGCTGGGTGCTCATGATCGGGCTCTGCAGCACTACCGCCACCACCTTACCATCGCACGAGAACTTAGAGACACTCAAAGTGAAGCCAGAGCCTTAGGTAAACCTGATGAACACCAGATGCTTTCAGGTCATTCTAATGAATCCTCTCCTTCACAATTTCCTTTTCTCCTGCAGCAAACCTGGGTAACTTCCACAGCTGGAAAGGTGAATATGCTCAGGCCCTACCCTACTACCAGCAGTACCTGGCTTTGTCCCCTGGTCTGCAGGATCTGGAAGGAGAAGGAAAAGTTTGTCACAACCTCGGTTATGCTCACTACTGCCTGGGGCAGTACAGAGATGCAGTCAGGTCAGACAAAAGGAATTCAGCTTTATGTGGTAAAGAAAGAGGAAACAGAAGGATTTTCTAAATGTAATGATGCAAAAAGTGCTGAAAAATCACGTGTTGCATGTTTCATTAGTCTTTTCTTTCTCAAAGTGAATTAAAACAACAACTATGTGTTTTATCCTGCCTCCCAGGTATTATGAGCAGGACTTGGCCCTGGCTAAAGACCTCCAGGAAAAGTTAGCCCAAGCTAAAGCCTACTGTAACCTCGGTCTGGCCCATAAAGCTCTGGGAGAGTTCAGCAAAGCAGAGGAGTGTCAGCGATACCTGCTTTCTCTGGCTCAAGCCCTGGATAACACACAGGTCACCTATCACTCAGCAGTAATGCGTTGTCCGTCACACAGGAAGCGATGCTGTTCCACGGTCATGTGTTTTTGTTGGTCAACAGGCCATTTTCAGGGCTTTTGGCAACCTCGGGGATGTCTATGTGTGTCGTGGCGACCTCCCGGGGGCAGTGAAGTTCTATCAGCAGCAGCTGACCCTGGCTCAGAAGGCCAGTGATCAGAAGATGGAGGCTGATGCCTTCGCTGCACTGGGATCAGCTCACAGGTAATACAGGAGATAAACACAGAAGGGGGTGAACGAACAGGACCCGACATAAAGTCAGGGGTTGATGGGACACATGAAGAAACAGCGCCACACATGGGGGTTCTAACCACATTAAACACAGAGAGGAAACATTAAAAAATGGTAGAAAAAACATCACCTATGTTAAAATCAAACAGACATCAATTTCAGCAGATTCCTTCAAGTATGGGTTAACCCGAGCTAACCTTTCTGCTTGTCTCTCTCCACTCCTCCTGCCTGTCCCATTACTCCCACTGAGGCTGTGCCGCCAGCTGGACGCTGCCTTGTCCTTCCACAGCCAGGAGCTGACTGTCCGCAAAGATCTGGGAGATCGGCTGGGGGAGTGCCGGGCCCTCGGCCACCTGGCAGCAGTCCACATGGCTCTAGGAGACTACAGTACAGCCTTCCAGTGCTATGAGGCCCAGCTGGGCCTAGCACAGGGACTCAGGGATGCCCGCCTAGAAGCCCAGGTCCACGGAAACATGGGCATCACTAAGATGAACATGGGGATGTTTGAGGAATCTATAGGATACTTTGAGCAGCAGCTGGCTATGCTGCAGCAGCTGAGTAGCAGTGAGGGCATGCTGGACCGAGGCCGGGCCTATGGTAACCTGGCAGACTGCTACAATGCACTGGGAGATTACGAGGAGGCTATCCAGTACTATGAGAAATACTTGACAGTAGCTCAATGTCTCAATCATGTCCAGGACCAAGAGAAGGCCTATAGAGGACTTGGCAATGCATACAGGTAGGTGAAAGCATCAGCTTTAGCTTTTAGAAGATCAACACCTCTGCTGCAGCTCATAATAGTGAGCCTAAGTCATGCCTATCTACTTCCGCACCATGGGTCCCGGGAAGAACGATAAAATGAATGTAGGTCAATGGGGCTAAAAACGCTATTTTCTGTTCCCCTTGTTTTGTGCCATGGATTTAACATATGATGTCTGAATTTTAAAGACACATTTTGATACCAAGAACGCGCTTATTTTCGAACAGGGGAAATGCTATTTTAGGTTTTGTGTGAACATAAGTTCAGGACTACAAATGTGCTTCACGAAAGTGACGTCATCGAACCAGACATGGAGAAAACTGAGGGAAAAGGGCTGTTAGTTCACCAAACTTCCCACAGGAGGAAAGAACCGCCATAAATCTGGCCATTTAGTACGTAGCAGCTACTTAGAGGAGAGGAGATTATGTGGTGACGTCACATATGTGACATGCCGATTTCTAGTTTGTAGTCACGTTAATCATGAAAGTTTACAAGCTGATAAATCTCGTGACTGGCGTGGTCGAAAAACACCCATCATTACTTTTCATTGAAGTTGCAGTACAACATATGTGCGATCCAGGGCGAAAGGCAAAGCAGATTAGAAAATAGCATTTTCAGCCCCGTTGACTTGCATTCATTATTTTGTTCTTGCTGGGACCCAGGAGCCGACCGGAAAGGGAGGAGACTTAGGCTCCCTATTACACTAATACATCTTCAAAACAGTTTTTGCCTTCACTTTTTTCTGAGGGGCAATTTGGGTTGGTTATCTTCACTTGGGGTTTCACTATTTTACGGTTGGACTTACTCTAACTGGCTAAACCTTTGTTTACATCTGAGTTTAACTTCCTGTAAAATTATTATGGAGGTTTGTGTTTTTTTACCATTTTTTAAAAGACAAGAACACAAATTCAGAAATTCTAAGCGGATAATTAGCAAAAAAATAAAAAGTTCTTTATTATTAAAAACCCTAAAAGGTATAAGGACTGAAACCAGACAATTTAGTAATTGGTATGCCCAGTTTCTGTGTTGGTTTTGATTTTTCTGCTTTTTGTACTAAATTATTTTTTTAGGGCTAAATATTGATGGTCTTTTATCAAATTTCTGAATGAAGCAATCTTTGTGTATCCAACTGAAGTTGCTGCTATATTTAGCACATAGAATTAACATGCTTTAACTTACTGATCCAAATTATAAAGAGAATCCATTATCCTACAAACAAAATGTATTCATGAGTGACAAACTGGAGATAAGTGACATGTAGGCTAAAGTTAGCAGGTTAAAGTTTATTTCATTATAATTATAAATGGTTAAAAAGTTAGACATGGATGCGTTGCATGAAATTACATCGTCTTTTGAAGAAGAAAATGTCAGAAAAGACCAAAGTAGGGATGCTTACCCATAATGCACAGCTCTGTGTGTGGTTGAAACCAAGCAGCATTCAGTATCAGCACAGACAACTCGTCCCACCTGTCAGCACAGTCGTGGAGAGCTGATTTAATAAACAATGACGCATCATTTTTCTATTAACAAATGAATATTTTAAGATCAGGTTTGTTCCAAAAGGGTTATTTTTTATGTCTCCATATGAAAAGCTTCAGAAATAAAAATGGTGTTCTTCTATGAAAGCCAGTTTAGTTAGGATTTCTATGAAAGGAAAACTTCAAAAAAGCAGAACAATAGATTTTGACAACAGAATACTACACTGGGGAGCTGTGGACTCCTGGAATTTTAGCACCAGGATAGGGGTGGGAATTGGTCCGTTTTTATCCGTATCAATGTCATTGTCAGTTCTATCAACCCAGTTCCTTATCAGTTCCCAAGTAATTCAATAGGTGGCAATTATTCATCTCTGCAGATATGCTCCACTGGGTGATTTTATTTCTCCATGAGTTTGGACATGCTTTCCTTTTACAGAAAACAAGTCACACGAAAGTCGTATTCATGTTCTGTTCCTCCTTTAAACACACATCATTCTGAATTGGAATTATAATGAAAAAGGGAATAATTCGATTTGAATAGCTGTGCTCACGTAAGCGGCCTGTTCCAGTAGAAAACTGCACAAGTATTGTTCACTGACGGGAGGTTTAATGAGGGTTTTCTTCATCCATCCGTTGTTTCCGCTCTCTGGAGTGAGATGTTAATGGCAGAAAAAGAAGCACTGATTTATCTCAGCAAACTCTTCTGCTTTTTAGGAGGTGTAAAGTGGAAAAAAACTAAATGCATAAGATTGATCTCTTGCTTCTACAGATCTGCCCTCAAAAATCAACACAAATAGGTAAAAATGTGTTTTATTTCCCTCTTTTGTCCCACCTTTCCCCATCTGCAGGTCCATGGGTAGTCTCCAACAAGCACTGGTGTGCTTCGAGAAGCACCTGGTGGTAGCCCATGAGCTAGGCGGGGAAGGAGGGGGTAAGGCGCAAGCTTATGGGGAGCTGGGCACCTTACATAGCCAGCTGGGCAACTATGAGCAGGCCCTCTCCTGTCTGGAGCACCAGCTGAACATTGCACGCTCAGCTGGGGTGAGGTTTTATCAGCAGAAGGTTCCCAATTCATCATGTTGACTGTAAAAATTTGGAAAAATGATGCTATTTATTAAAAGTGCATTGTGAACAGAAACTATAATAAACCCTGCTTTTTCTGACAGGATAAATCCCTGGAGGCAGAGGCAAGCGATGCACTTGGAGGCGTATATCAGCTGATGGCAGACAATGAAACAGCTCTACAGGTCTGATTCCTAACACAAACAAACTCTTTTCTTACTTTTCTGATTCCAGTCAGCTTAGCCAAAAGTGTAGGACCAGGTGAAAACCACTACCCTAGCTAAACCAGCAGAGACCCCACAGTGCTGCACAGTGAACTGATGTGTTTAAACCCTCCTGCTGCAGTGGCACCAGAGGGCGTTGGACATTTCTGAGCAGACGGGGTGTGTGAGGAGTCAGGGGCGAGCCTATGGAAACCTGGGCCTAACCTACGAAGCTTTGGGGAACTACGAACGAGCTGTGGTCTTTCAGGAGCAACACCTCAGTGTGGCAGCACAGACAAATGATCTGATGGCTAAAACCCAAGCCTATGGAAGCCTGGGGAGGACACACCATGCTCTGCAGAACTACGCCCAGGCTGTGATGTATCTACAGGAAGGTGATGGGAGAAAAATGCTTAACAATTCTAATTAGAGCTAACAGTTACATCAAAGAGACCGTTAGCTAGCAACACACACACACACACACACACACTGTCATGTGACCTGATTTTCATATCTTGTAAAGTTAGTTACTCTTTGGACAACATCAGTTTGTTGAAACAGAGATTATCTCTGATCAATCGGAGGATCTAAAGCAAGGGGACTCAGTCCTGGAGGGCTGCTATCCAGCATGTTTTAGATGTGTCCCTGCTTCAACACATCTGATTTGAATGAGCAGGCGATTGGCAGCTTTCTACAGAGCCTGATGAGCTGCTGATCAGGTGATTCAAGACTCAAGATTCAACACTGAATCAAGAGTGTTGAAGCAGAGAAACAACTAAAACATGCTGGATACCGGCCCTCCAGGACCAGGATTGTGCACTTCTGATCTAAAGGCTTTTCTGGGTGAGGCCAAGAAAGAATGTTGCAGGATTTCTGCTGGATTAATTGCATTTTTGCTGATGGGATACAAATTTCCATTCATCAACAGGAAACAGCATAGGTTTAGTCATGCGTCTCCTTATTTTCACTTTATACAAATCTTTTTATTGGAATGCAGGGTCCAGTTGATTCCAGTGTCGATCAATGTGTGGGAAATTGCTCTCTCTCTCTCTCTGTTTCTCTCCCTCTCACTCACTCATTATTTTTGAAATACCATCAGTCACCCTGAGTTTACCACGCAGGCTGATTTGAAAAGTAGACGTCTACCCCTATTTCTTGCATTAGTAAATAAAAAAAAGATTGGAAACAGATTTGAAAGGCCCTTTTTTAACATAAGATGCCCAACACTGTCCATGACGTCACCGATCTTGGCTTGGGACTGGGAAGGCTGTTGTTGATGCAGTAATCTACTTTGGTTTCAGAAATGCTTTAACTAGCTGTTAGCTTTTCAATCCAACCAGAACTAATCTCTGTTTCTCTGAACTAAAGATATTCAAAGAACAATCTAGGTAAGGTGATATTTGCTCGTATTGTGTTGAAAGAAACACACCTAAAAAGATCCTAACCCTTTCTTTACCATGTTACACAATTACTCAAACTGTAAAGGCTCAGTAGGCCACATTTTCGTCAGATTTAGTCATTTTTACATTTTACTTTGACTCTTCGCATTTTCTTAAGATTAATTAGAATTAGCTCCACAGCAGACTGAGATGTATAAGTGAGTCAGACAGGAAAATGAAGTCAGTCTGCTTTAGTTTTATCAATGAAAACCTGTTCAGGTGGTGTTTAACGGTAGATGGCCTCTCCTGCCCCTCTGAAGCTCAGCTGAATGTGTAAATATTGCATCATATAGCTGGATAGTTTATATGTTTAGAAATGTGTTTATTTAAAAAACTGGAATAACCACAGATAGGAGAAACAGAGACAGGTTAACAGCTAGCCCGAGTGGAGCTTCTGCTGTCATAAAAGATCTTTAAAGGTGTATTGTAGATTATGAAAATATTATTTTATACAAGTTTGCATCATATTGTCACTTACACGGTTATTTACATTGAATTACTATGTGACTGTTTGCTGTAGCTCTTGAGACTGGTAGTTCAGAATTCTGTATAGAATAAAACTGATTTAAAAATAGCATTTTCTTGAACTGGCTGGAAATTTAAGAGAGTGGAGCTATTTTAAGATATAGGCCCGGTTGTTATCTATTTCATTTGTAGTAATCCCTGTTTAATCAAACTGAGGCTGTTCAAGCAGCTTTTTACATTTGACATCTAAAATTTTCGTAATTTTTCACAGAATTCCTCTTCAAAATATATGAACTATTCCTGTAACCATCGACATATTTACTGGACAATTCGTGTCCATAGGCTCCATTTATAAGTTTTTGTGCCAAAGTTGGAGGTGGCCACCACCGCCATTTTGACCGTGTCACAGGTTCCATCAAACCTTGACAATTCCAAAAAAGGGAAAAGAGGTGGAGCTGAGGGTGGGGCTGTAAGGCTGGGATCAAATGACGACACCCGTCGAACTGAAACAATGTAGCTACAAGCTAACCCAAAGCTAACGCGGAGGTGGGAGCTAGGGCTGTCGCGGTTGAGGAATTCCCCCTGCGGTGATTCAGGGTGGCTTAATATTGCGGTGTGCGATATTATTGCAGCCCTTTTTTATTGCAGTACTATCTAAACATAATGTTTACACATTTAAAAAAGGTTAAAAATTGCCGTGCCTTCTTTAATAACACTTTACTGAATGCAGATCAAAGGGCAGTAACAACGCAGATCGCAGTAACGTTTGTTTCTCCGACTGTCAGAGTCCGACTGAACTTAAAAACAACAAAATTCAGGAGGTTAAACTTTTAAATGCAAATTTGGCTGCAGCATCTAACAAATAAGAAACAAGTCCCCATTTTGTTTAGTTGTTTAAAATCAAGCATAAAAAATTACATGTACCGGGCGCGCGCGCGCCGGGGGGTGGGCGCACTATCATTTCACTTTCACACACACACGAATGACGGTGATTTATAGCTCGGTCACGTCCTTGTTACCCACAAGGAAAACCAGCATGTTAACCATATACGGTTTGAGAGAGGATCTGAGAGGGGTGGCAACATTTCCAGCAACACTGAAAACCCTCTCGGATGGTGCGCTCGTTGCACTAACGCACACGTACTTGCTGCGACTGGCGAGCAAAGGGAATCTCTCCCGGTTGTTGCTCCACCGTGTCAGGGGGGTTTCTTTAGTGTGGATGCATTCCTCCTGCAGGTAGCGAGTGAGCTCCAGCTCGGCTCAAACTCTCTACGGGGCGGTTGCAGAAGCAGTGCTTGTCCGGGACTTCAGCAGGTCTCCGAGCATTTATTTATTTATTTATTTATTTGCCGCTGGTGGCAGCTCTGTCTCGGCCAAGGACTCTGGCTGCGCAGCAGCTGACGTACTGAAAACCAAAGTGCTCCCAAAGGAGCGAAGTAACGTTTCGTGTTGATACCAGTGCAGCCATCCTTCTCAACATGCATCATTGAGTTGAACCAAGTTCAGTAATCGCGGTGGCCCATGATGCAGCGCGGTGGGCTTCTTCATATTGCGATATTTCATTTTTGCAGTTACCGCGACAGCCCTAGTGGGAGCTAAGCTAGCGGAGGTAGCAACCTAGCTACAACCGGAGTTTGTGCACAACACCAGATCTTCTGAGTCACAGATACGCCGGGCTGACCGCTGGGGAGAACCGGGTGGAAAACATTGGTTTCCATCCGAGAGCTCCACAAGCCAGCAGCCCATGCAGCAGACGGGCGCCGCTGCGGTCAGAGATGCGCCGAGATGCCGCTGAGGGGAGGGGACCATACCAATAGTTGGAACCCAGCTCCACCAACATGTCATATTTCAACCCATTTTCAAAAATGCAGCGTTATGTTAAATGCACTGGGTTTTACCCTATTACATTTCAACTGAATGGTTAAACAGGACATGTTAAAATGGTAGTTAGCGAGCTAATTTGATAAGCTCAGCTAGCGCAAGAGCGGCAGTGACCTAAAATACATAAATATAATTTTACTTACCGAAAGAAATGAAGTGGAGACTCCTTGGACGCTCTATTGGTGCAATTAATAACACAGCAGGTCATTTTGTCCAACAATTGCACAAATAATATCAAAAAAGAATGCACAAATGCTACAACTACTGGTCTAATTTGAGAGACTGAAAATCACAGAACAGTTCTCAGGCGAGGCCGAGGCTCAGACTGAGGCCCTTCCATGGAGGTCCTGTGGTCACATGTGTCTGATGCTCATTAATTATTCAGCATTTTAGGCATTTAATACACTTAAACAGAAGAGTGATTAAAAAAAAATCCCCCCCCCCCCCCCCCCCAGAGTTGTCATGAGTGTAAACTAGATCTATTAAGCCTAAAACATGTTTTGGAACCAGGCTGTAAACATGTTTATTTCTGCTGTGAAATTGGTATTTTTAACATGGGAGTCAATGAGGATTTGTTCACTTCTGACACCAGCTCCCAGCGGATGAGGGTGGAACTGCAATTTTTTCGACTTCCTGTTTGGCTTCATTTCCAGACCCGAATTATGGGGGCTTGCCTTTAACTGAGATAGTCAGCGATAGCCAAAATAACGTCTAGCAGTTGGATGCTAGGTGTGCTAGCAGCTCTGTATCCTGAGATTTGGGGAACATTAACCCTCATCTCTCAGTTTAGCGTTAAATCTAAAACTTTATTTGTTGTTCAAGCTCAGATGAGCCACCTATTCCCTTGAGGATGGATAAACAGGCATCCAGGAGTCTGACACAGGTTAATAGAGGATCGCTGTTTGCCACTGAGGCAGCTCGTTGTCAGTAATCTTCTTTTGTCTCAATATGAAGCTCTGGAAAACGTACACACACCTTGTGTGTTCTTTAAATATTGTAGCTTATTCTCTCTTTCATGCTGACCTTATGGCTTAATTATAAATTCATCTTTTTTTGGGTTCTTTTGTAAACTTCACTGTAAAACACAGTCACAGTTTGTCCCTCAACTCTCATATTTTCTGGATTTTAATTGATCATTAAGTCAACGAGCTGGGAGGAAGTGGGCTCAGAGTTCAGGAGAGGACATCGCTGAGGAAATATTTGTATAAAAAAATTCCTCCAATTAACCTCCTCGACCGAAACGCAGACACGGAACATCACAGCCCCAGACGCAGGTGACCAGGCTCAGAGGCGTGGATGAAAACCTGATCTGCTCCCTCTGAGAACCTAATGACAACTAAACAGAACCTGCAACGTCCTCCTGCTCCTCTGCAGCTGGGTAGATCAGACAGATCTGATACAAAGTAAGAAGAGAGAATGCATCAGCTCTGAATTTAAATTCAGTGATTAAATAGAAACAGTATAGTGGGAGAAAATGAGTGGCACCTCTGAGCACTGCTGGCTCATCAGCTGAGGTTTGCTGTGGTGCAGCAACAGTCGTCACCAGTGTGAAAATCTTTGATAGGCTTCAGCGTCTGATACGCTTTGTGTTTTCCGCTCAGGTCTGCGTCTGGCGGAGCAGTTGGGCCAAAGAGAAGACGAGGCAAAGATACGCCATCGCCTCGGGCTTTCTCTGTGGGCTGGCAGAAACCTGGAGGAGGCACAGCACCAGGTTTGTGCAGCTTTAAGCAAACAGCAAAAGAGTATAAATCATTCTCTGGAAACAACCAACATTGTTCATGTTAGAAACAGAAATGTGGTCAAGTGTGTAAACATCTCTAGGGTAGGCGGTTCTACCTAAAACTATCTGGGCTATGTAAAAAAGAAATGAGTCATTTTAGAGTTTTGATCAATCAGCTGATCAGTGGGGAAACCTGGACCTTTTGGAAGGCACATTTTTAAAAGCTAAAATGGAGGTTTTTTTCTTTAATAGAATTAATATTTTGTTTTCTTGCAATAAAACTGTTACATTTATTTGGTCATATCGATATGAGCTCTTCTGTTTTCGTATCCCAATCGGTCTTTCCTAGATCAAATAAAATAGCATTAAGGATTATCCAGTCCAAGCAGGTCTTTTTTTGGTTTGTTTTTAATTTGTAGAGAAATTTTTTGATCTCTGTTACAAGTAAAACAAAAAAAATACAACATTGTGCAAATTCCATTTATTTCAATAATTCAGCTTAGACTGAGAGACCATCTAAAGGCCCAAGAACCCTTTGAAGGTGTTTAGGATTCATTAGCTGATTAGAGTGTGACACTTTGAGTCTAGAACATTCTAATTGTTTATGATTTTGAATGTGGAGTTTTCATCAGCTTTAAGCCATGATCATCACAATTATAAAAAACAAAGGCTGAACTATGTGGCTTTGCATGTGATGCGTGTCTCATCTATTAGTTTCACCTTTTAGGTAGAATTATTTAAATAAATTAACTTTTGCACCATATTCTAAAATTTTAAATTATCACCTGTGCTTCAGCTAAATAAGCAGTTTTTACTATATTTTTTCTTCAACCACATAGTTCAAAGCAAAATTGTTTTGTCAGATTATTCACAGAATATTTATTTTTAAACATTTCTTGAGGTCATTTTATAGTTACAAGTTTTTATTGTGTTTTCTTTTAAGACCTGACATGATTTTGTTGAGGTTAAGGTTGGTCAAATGCTTGGATGGAATATATTTAATACAACAGAATCAGCTTTCATTCTGTTTATTTTGAGGGTATTATTTTTTTCTATTTTAAAAAATCATTGTTGTAACTATTGTTGTGTGTTGGCAGCACCATCCAGTGGTCAGCTGTGTAACTGCAGGAATTTATTTTCACTTAAAATCAGCTTCTTCTGTTTTAAAACGTTATGAATATTACAAAGCCCTAATTGAAATGATCAATGGATTTGAAGAATGACCGCAGGTCTCAGAATGTTTGAGTATTAAAGCGACCTTGTAAAGTTATCTCTTTGCAGAACTGTTGAAATGCATGGTTGTAGTGTGTGATGTTTTGTTGTGTTACAGTTGTACCGAGCGTCTGCACTGTTTGAGACAATTTGCCAAGAGATGCAGCACAGTCTGGATTACAAGCTCTCCCTGTTTGATCTGCAAACCAGCTCATATCAGGCTCTCCAGAGGGTCCTTGTTAGCCTAGGTGAATTCATCATTTTCTCTTCTGTGTGTTCTTGTTTTGGTCTGGGAATTGTCATCTTTTACTGTTTTGATGAGTATGTTTCTTTCCAGTTTCTTGTTGACTAAAGGAAGCACGTTTGGGCCCAGAGACCACTTATGGCCCTTGAGCGAGATTTCTAAAAAAAGGAATTTAGTTTCTCCAGGCACCTGATGATGTAGATCGACACTTTCTAACATTTTTACGTACAGGTTTTTACCAATAAGCCTGTTTTAGACTTATTTTGATGAGTAAAAAGTCACCATAAATTTTATCTTTTTAAAATATTTGCATTTTTATTACATGCTAGGACTATTAACTAGACGATCTGGGCCCTCATGTGTTTCTCTCTCAGGTCGACATGATGAGGCTCTAGTCATAGCAGAGCGTGGGCGAACACGTGCATTTGCTGATCTTTTGGTTGAACGCCAGAGACGATGTCAGCAGGCAGCAAGCGCTGGCCCTTACATCTCGGTCACAGTGGAGCACATCCTGGAGACGGTCAGTGCTCAGAAGGCGCTCATCCTCTACTTCTCTCTGGCTGGAGGCTTTCTGTACAGCTGGCTGATATCACCAGGCACAGGTACACAGCCACACACCTGTCCTTATTAGGTCATCGTATTCACTTTCTAACCTAAACTCCAATTTTCTGATGTTATCACTATCAAACCACTATTTCACTATAATTTATTGTCATCATATAAATAACAACAAAGTGACATGACTGAATTTAACATAACTGTAACTCCTGTTTGTTTGCTGCAGGCTGTCCAACAGCAAACATAAACTTTACTTGGAAAAGTTTAAATAAAAAAATGTTAAGTTTCTGTGGAGTGAGCAGCTAAAAAATGGAGACTGAACCAGGTAACAGAACACTAAATCAAGTGAAGACAAGTTTAGTTTTAGATATTAGATGAGGATGGAGCTGAATGAAAAGGTTAAAAAAAAAGATCAATTTCCACGTATGACTGAGTCCGTGCTGAGTGGAACGCTGAGCAGGAAAAGAGACGTCCAGCTGATCTTTACCGGACGCGGTCTTTCCCCTCCGGGGATCAGTCCTTCATGTTTAACACACCCTGTGCTGCATTCAGGGGGAAATGTCAACTACATCCACTCATGAAGTGACATTTGTGGATGTTTTTATTCCAAACAGAATACACCTTTAGGCTTTAATCATCTTGTTGCTACATGAACAAAATGTTGAACGTTTGTCTGATCTGTGCCAACTTGGACCAGCATAAAGATGAATAAATACATTTGCTGTGCGCCATACTTATGCATGTTCTTTCTGGAATCCTGGGACAGGTATTGTGAAATTTCACGAGGTGTATCTGGGCGAAGTGGGGCCAGAGGCTTCTGAGTTCCAGGACGGAGTTGGGAGTCCGCAGGGGACAGGTCAACTGTCTCTGGAGCAGCACATCTGCAACGCTAGAGAGGCTCTGGGAGTGGACAACCATTATAGCAGGTACAAAGTGGGCAAATGTCCACATCTCAACAGCAAATCAAAGTTCTAAACACTAAAAAATGGTAAATAACCTGTATTTGTATAGCGCCTTCTTAGGGTTCTACAACCCCTCAAGGTGCTTCACAACACAGTCAGTCATTCACCCATTCACACATACATTCACACACTGGTGGGGATGAGCTACAGTGTAGCCACAGCTGCCCTGGGGCGTACTGACAGAGGTGAGGCCTGCTCGTGCAGGCATGGCAGTTGAAGTGTCTTGCCCAAGGACACAACAGCAACATTCTCTGGTAGGAGCCGGGATTTTGCCTCTAACTTTCAGATTACGGGACAACCCGTTCAACCTCCTGAGCTACTGCTGTCACTGAAAAAGAAGCTTTAACGTATCATATAAAATGTAACTTGTGGCTTCGTGTTGTTAGAGTTTGCCCCGGCAGTGAGACGGAGAGTGAAGCAGGAGATCTGTTGGAGCAACAGTTTGAGGAGCTGAACAGCAAACTGAGCTCAGCTAACGACTCAACCGGCTACCTCCGTATGGTCTCCAGAAACAACGTCTTCAACAGGTGTGTCCTGGTGCTTTAAACCCGCTTATTGACTATAAAGTGTTGCAGATATTTATTGAAACAGATTGTGAACCTTTTTTCAGCAGGTCACATTCTTCATTTTCCAGGTTTTTGTGGTCATGTAAAAAACGTCATGCTTTATTGGATGAACTGGTCTGATGATGGATTATATAACATATGTAAGCTGAAGGGTTTGATGAGTTCTAATCTTTTATGTGCTTCTGCAGCTTTTCTCGTTGCACTATTAAGTTTTCAGGATTTTTCATCATTTACAAATTGTTATAATTAAAGTCATCTTGAAGTGAAACATACAACCTCCAAGTCCACTGATGATGTTTCAGTTTGCAGTTTCATTCACACTCCACTGTGACTTTGTGAGGATAAAACAGCTTGTAAACTTAGCTAACTTCATCTGGTGAAGCCACACTCGTACATTTTTAGGACATATTGTAAACATTTTACTAAGTCAGCAAGTTTAATTAAAATAGCAAATTTTACACGTTTCATATAGCATGTTGTCATTATGCGTGTGTTAGCATGAGTGCTAAGCTTAGATTTCATGTGTTAAAATTAAAGGTGGGACTCGATATGAATCTAATTAATCAGACGCTGTGTAATTAATTAATCTTGATAATCACATTTTAATCGTTCAAGACAATTTGCGCCCGAGTGTTGTCTGGATCAAACAGAAACTTTGCTAGCTGATGAGCTAACAGCTAGTCTGAGGACAGAAAGGAGCTAAATGTGTTGCTGCCATCTTAAAATTGACCCCAAAATGAAAAAGGTTCTTCTCTAAATTCTTTACACAAGTAAATTAGCACCACATGGTTATTGACGAGCATAAATGTGAACAACAGCAGCAAATGTAGTAATTCTGGTGCATCCAAGAATCAGGTCTAATTATTTATGCCAACATAACCACAAACACAAAACTGTAGTGAAAAGACTTGTAAAATAACGCTTGCATGAACTGTGAAATTTTGGAACCTGAAGTCTCTTTACGATGGAAGCATTACAGTTTCTTGCTTTTGGACTAGCTGATTAGTTTGATGAATAAGAAATTCATTAGTTGTAACATTTACTCATAAAACCTCTTCAAATAGTCCAAAACCTTTTCTTAAGGGTTGTCCTTGTCCTTGTAGCTGTTGGAGGCCGGATCATCAAAAAGAAATTCAGATTGTAATTTTTACCTTTGTTAAATCAAAACTGTCAGAGTAAATAAATGTAAATCGTGTGTAAAATGTGTCGTGTTTTTTTACACGTCTAACAGAAGCTGCCTGAGCATGACGAGTCTCTACAGCACAACAGTGTCTCCTGTGAAGGACAGGTTATCTTCTCCTCTTTACCGACCAAGCAACATTAGCAAACCTCCTCTACGGGCCCTGTATGATTTACTGATAGCCCCGATGGAAGGGGTATGTCCACATGTTCTCAGATAAAGATCTTTGTTCTTTTAAACTTTGACCTTCTTGTCTAAATCTTTGTCTGAATCTCTGCAGGGCCTGATGCACAGTAGTGGGCCTGTTGGCAGGAACAGGCAGCTTGTTTTAGTTCTGGAGGGAGAATTGTACCTGATCCCATTTGCCTTGCTCAAAGGCAGCTCCTCTAATGAGTATCTGTATGAAAGGTTCAGTCTCATCTCTGTGCCTTCTTTATCCAGCCTCCAAGCCACAACCAAGGTAGGTTGTTCATAACCTTTATCATCAACTTGGACGTGTGCTGTATTAATAATATTTGTTATTTACATCCAAACCCACAGCCTCAGCCCCGCTGCAGTGGCTCCTTGCTTTGCCCAGATGGAAGCTCAGTGGCTGCCGTGGTCGGTGCTCCTAGTCTGCCCCCCAGTGTGATGGATCGCTGGCTGTGGGGGCCCTTACCCTCAGCCCAAGATGAGGCCCTTTGGCTAGGGGAGCAGCTGGGTTGTCATCCCCTGACTGGAGCAAACCCAACGAAGGAGCGAGTTTTAGCATCTCTGACTCAGGCTGAGTGTGTTCACTTTGCAACTCACATATCCTGGAAGCTCGCTGCACTGGTCCTGGCCCCCAGCCAAGAGCGGGCCAGAGGGGAGGGTACGGACATTCAACCCAGGGTAAAACCTCTATGTGTGGCATCGACGTCGGGTGAAGCTCTGGATCAGAGAGGAAAGGTCAACCATCTGTTTCCTAAAAGCCACAGCAGCCCAGAGAGGCTCAGAGAGGAGACAAGTGAGGATGAGGAGAGTGTGTGTGAAGTGGAGAGTGTGTGTGATAGCCCACCTCTTCAGGACTTTCTGCTTACTGCTGCTGATATACTGGACCTGTCTCTGACAGTCAAATTGGTGGTTCTGAGGTAATCCATACAGATTCATCCTTTAAAAAATAAACTCTTACGTTCGTCATAGCTCATTTAAGTCTGACTCTTTGTTGCCTCAGGTTGTTTCCAGAATCCAGCTGCAGAGTCACATCTGACGGAGTGGTGGGTCTGACCCGAGCCTTCCTGGCTGCAGGCGTTCAGTGTGTGTGCATCTCTCTGTGGCCTGTACCAATCGCTGCCTCCAAACTGTTCACACACACATTCTACACCGCCCTCCTAAATGGAACCAAAGCCAGCGTTGCTCTGACCGAGGCCATGAAGACACTACAGACCAGCAAGCACTTTTCACACCCCTCCAACTGGGCCGGTGAGCAAAGTATAAAAGCTGTTGCAGCTCCCCCTATGGTGGCTAAAAGGAGTAATGACATTCTCTTAAAATTGGAAGCATGTTACTGTGTAAATGCCATAAACAATAACTTTCTGACCAGCTGGTTTGAATAAATGCTGTTTACATTAGACAGGACTGAGGAGCTAACAGCTAGTACAATTGTATCCAAGACCAAAGAGTACTGACCCCATCCTAAAACAGTTCCAACTTTCTTATTTTCTCAGCAGTTTATGTAAACATTATAAATGTACACCACTGTCTGTTTTTGCATGACAGTCATTTTGACAGAAGTATCCAAATACTCCATCTGGTTGCTTTAACCCTCTGGAGGCAGGCGTTGCAGATTCGCAACGTTAAAACCTATCTACCTGGATACTCCACATACGAGTTTCATGAGCATTTTTTAACTCAGAAGTACCCCTGAAGGACTTAGTTGTTCGTCTTTTTATCAAAACTTTTTTTGAACCTGAGAGGGTTAAGGCCAGGGGTATGATGCTAATTTGCGATAATAGTCCAAATGGGGTTGAAATTTATGATACACAAATAAACAGGTTATCCATTTTCTTCTTTTTTTTACACAGTTCAGTAAAACAATGTTTCCTCCAATATTTCAGAAAATCTGGACACTGTCAGCAGAAGTTTTAACTGCTGTCCTTTAGTTGTTGTATTTTCAATAATGTTGCTGAAATGATTCAGACATTCTGCTGTGTGTTTTCCAGGTTATATGCTGATTGGCAGTGATGTAATGCTCAACAGCCCCATGTCTCTGGTTGGACAGGCCCTGGCAGAGATCCTTCAGCACCCAGAGAGAGCCAGGGATGCCCTCAGGGTGCTGCTGCACTTGGTGAGACTCTTCTGAAGCTGTGACTTCCTACTGTGTCCACGCCACAACTAAACACTAGATAAAACTCTTGTTTTAGCAGGCTTCAGATCAGTAAACTGGCAGCTGTCAGTAATAACCTGTAATTTAGTTTTTAAATTCCCTTCATAAGACAAGACTGTTAAATGCATCGGTGCATGCTTTTAATTGGGAATACTTCAGTTTGACTTTTAATAAATTCAAGTACTACATACTTCATCTTGGCCATCCATCAAACATTACATTTTTTAGACAGCTCTTCAAAGCTTTAATTGTTTATGACCTCTTATTCAAGAGTGTGTTTTTGGTCTTGACTGTGGAACAATGGAACAGATCCTCTTCCTTATTCTTTCTGGGGATCGTGGTAGTTTCTTTTTCATGCCCACCTTTGTTTGCTGGATTGTGAGGGATCATGGGCAAGATCCACTGGTCATGGCAAGGAGGCTTTATACACAGAGGCACTTCAGTGTTGGAGGGTGTTTGGGAACCTCTGGACATCATCTCTGCTTCTTCAAGCCACAACCTTAACTTTATACTGAGAAATTCACACAAGAGGCTGGCAAATGGATCAGGGCGTCATTCATTCATGAAGTCAGTCTATTGTGGTCAATGAGCTGAGCTGGAAGACAAAACTCTTGATTTGCAGGTCTGTCTGCTAAGAAGAACTTCTTTTGAAGGGTGGCTGGGCTCAGTCAAAGAAATGAGCTAAGGAGCTTCATCATCTAGGAGTAGCTAGTTGAGGTGGTTAGGACTTCTGGTGTAGGTATCTGTTGCATCCCTATGGAGGTTTTTTTGGGGTATAGCTCACTTGGAGGAGACCATGATGCAGCCTCAGAACTCCCTGCAGGGATGTCCACTTTCACCCCAGAAGAGCTGAGGAGTGTTGATGTCGAGAGGGCTGTATTGGTTTCCCTCCTGAATTTATTACTGTTGGGATGAGTGTTCTTTGTTTTTCTGGATTGTGAAGATCAGACTAGGTTAGGGGTCGATCTGTTGTTGAAGTTGTTGGTTTATATTTGTCCAGCTGAAATTCTCCTAAACAACAGCAGCATCAAATCATTATCCTTTCTTCTTTCCACAGGTTGAAAAGTCTTTGCAGCGAATTCAGAGCGGTCACTGTAACCCTATGTACACATCTCAGCAAAGCGTTGAAAATAAGGTCTGTATTTTTGCCTTTCAGTCTAGTTTTCTTTAAATGTCAGCTCGCCTGTATCTCCTTTGCTCATTTTGCCTTCTGCCTGCTGCATATAAGGTCAGAGGGGTTCCCGGGTGGCAGGCTCTACTGTCTGCTGTGGGCTTCCGGGTAGACTCCTCTGGTAGTGCTGCTGGACTCCCTGCAGCAGTTTTCTTCCCAACATCAGACCCTGGAGATCGTCTGCAGCAGTGCAGCACCACTCTACAGTCTCTACTTGGTAACAGAGCTACTCTATTATTCACAATGTCTCTCCTTTTTGTCACACTAGTTAATTAATAAACTTAAATGACATCTAATTTATTTATATCACATCCAAACAAAGCAAACTGATTGCCCAAAATATACCTTCTGTAATTAGGGTAACTATACTCAGAAACCACAGCAAATGCAACAACAATAACAAATACTGAATAAAGATTGATAAAGATTGTCCACTAACAAAGGTGACTATATACACTCTGATCAATATAAACTCTGATCTGTGTGCAGTTTTTGACACTGTTGATCACAACACCTTAAATAAATCAAATCAAATCAACTTTATTTATATAGCACTTTTCATACAAAAAAATGCAACTCAAAGTGCTTTACCGATTAAAATGGCCCCATAGATCCCATATTCCCATCCCAGCCCCCCTCCCCAAGTATAGAACAATTAACAATTACGGTTCCCCTCCCGCACCCAACTTCCAAAGTGGACATACAATCACCCGCACACTCGTCCATGCACACACACACACACACACACACACACACACACACACACACACACACACACACACACGTGATCACCAGAGGAAACAATAGGCTGAGTTCAGATGGGTCAAGTAATGAACGACACATCATCAGCGGAGCCATCTGCCCTGGCAGCAACAGATCCACGGCAGCAGCCAAGACACCGGCTCATGATGCCCAGTGGTGGAGGGCAGAAACCCTCACCACTGCCCGGGCACTGCCCGAGGAGCGCCCCGGCCGCCGCCGCCACCCCTGACCACCGGCTCCAAGGCAGAGGGCTCCGCAGAGGAAACACCGGAGGATTAAAATATATAACAAAAATAACAAAAGCTAATATGGATATAAAGTAACTGATAAAAAGTGATTATAAAGATAGTAAAAGAAAACATAATCATGTAAAAACACTAAGATGTAGATAAAATGATAAAATTAATTAAAAGAGATAAATATGTATATATAGATAAATAGTGATCAGTTAAAAGCTAAGCTCAAAAGGTGAGTCTTGAGTCTATTCTTAAAAGCCTGGACGTTCCCTTCAGCCCTGAGGTCCTCTGGCAGCCCGTTCCAAAGGCGAGGGCCGTAGTACTTGAAGGACGCCTCGCCATGGGTGTGAGTCTTAACTTTAGGGATAACTAGGAGACGGCTGCCAGAGGAGCGCAGAGACCGCGAGGGTTTATATAGTAAAAGCATTTCTGAAAGATAAGAAGGCCCAAGACCATTAAGACACTTAAAAACCATTAAAAGAACCTTAAAATTAACAGACTTGGTGACTCTGTGAGGATCTCTGTAACTGTTCTAGACTCGTTTAGATCATACCTTTCTAACAGAAGTTGCAGTGTTTGTATAAACCAAATCATGTCAGATTCTACCGTTCTGTTCTGTGGGGTATCCCAAGGCTCTGTTTTGGGTCAACTGTTGTTTCTACTGTACATACACCCTCTTGGACAGATAATTGATTCTTTTCAAAATGTCTCTTATCACCTATATGCAGATGATATTCAGCTGTACAGCTCCTTTAAGGGTTCTGAGTTCTATAAACTGTCTGAATTACTAGAGTGTCTATCAGCTATCACCAGCTGGCTAGAAGAAAACTTCCTCCAGTTAAACTCTGAAAAGACTGAACATCTGGTCATTGCCCCTGAGAGCATGGTTCCCCTGATTAGTCTTAAACTTGGTCATTTATCCTCTGCCGTCAAGACAAATGTAAGGAATTTGGGTGTTATTTTTGACCAATCAAGGTCTCTTGATGGTCACTCAAAAACATTGGTCCAAAACTGTTTTCATCACTCAATAAATATCTCCAAACTGCGAAGGTTGGTGTCAAAACATGAACTTAAAATGGTTCTCCATGCCTTTATCTCCTCCCGTCTACATTACTGTAACACTTCACATGTTTTAACAAAAAAGCTGGACCGCCTTCAGTTGGTCCAGAACTCTGCGAGGCTCCTAACTGGAGCAAACAGAAGAGCACACATCACTCCTATTCTGATGTCTCTGCACTGGTTACCCGTTAACTTTAGAGTTCATTTTAAAATCCTGACTATAACTTTCAATGATCTACATGGTCAAGCTCCTCCCTATATTACTGAACTGTTAAAGCTTTATACTCCAACCCGAGCCCTCAGGTCCACTCACCAGAACCTTCTAGAAGTTCCAAAGACCAGATATGAAAGTTGAGCTGATTGCTCCTTCCAGACTGTTGCACCCCGAGTCTGGAATGATCTTCCTTTACCCTTAAGTAGCATTGACAGTTTGGACACTTTTAAAAAACAGCTAAATACCCTTTTATTTTTTTATTTATACCCTATATGACATTATTTTATCTGATGTTCATCTATTTCTGTTTTGAGATCATTATGATTTTAGGACTTTGTTTTATTTAGTTTTGATCTATGTGGAGCACTTTGTAATTCTATGTCTCTGATAAGTGCTGTAAAAATAAAATTTACTTACTTACTTGTAAGTTTTACTCAGGTGGGAAAAAACTCAGATGCACCTGTTTCAGGATGTAGCAGAATCAGAGGAGAGCTGAACACGGCAGGATATGCAGTCTTATTGTCTGATATTAGGACATCATCTGGATAACAGCAATGTGACTCTACCATTGACTCAGTTAGCTCTGTGATGTTGATGTTCATCTCCACAAATAACACAAGCCTGATGGAGTTGGTGTTGTGGAGTTGCCAATGCTAATGGTTAGCTTCTATTGGCCGGGGCGTTCTCTGCCATTTCCTTGACACTCAACACATTAAAACAACAGCCTTCCTTGTCGTGAGTCAAGATGGGTGAGTCCATGAATGTTAAGTGTCAGGCTTTTCCAATAAGAAGCTAATGCAGGAGATAGGTGTAGGAGACTATTTTCATGTTTAGCCTGCATGAAAAATTCAGTGACTGATCAGAAATAAGCATAAAAAATATTTTTTCTGTGTTCAACACCTTTGAATCTCTGTTTAACGTCACTTGCACTTCCCTCCTCCCCATCCCTGTCTCCCCCAGGTCTGACTCCTCCAGCACTACAAGCTCTCTGTAAACTGGTCACAGCATCTGAAGCAGGAGAACAGCTCATCCACAAGGTACCGCCATTTTGGACAGTAGCTGCTCAACAGGTTTATTTCAGTGGTGGAATAAAGTGGAAAAAGGTCAAACTTTACAATATATTTATTTTCAAAGCATCAAAAGGAAAAATGCTAAATAATAGCTAATAAATGATTTCATGAAATAAAGTCATGAATGGAATGAAAATGTGTAAGATAGGTTAAACAAAGAGGTTTTTCTTCGCAGATATGTTTTTGCTTAGTTACTACCTCTGCTTCTTAAAAAACAAATGACAACTATAATCGGTTTGAGTAAACATGGAGAAAACCCGATCCAACTTCAGTTGCATAATATGAAATCAATGGGCAATTCCATCTACGGTTGGACTGAAGCCAGAAAAGCAAACTAAGAAAGCACAACATATAAATGTATATTTATAGGAGTATTTTTATATTTTTTGAGTCTGTGTCTGTTTTTGTGAAGAGAAACTAGACAAGAGTGAAAAGTAAGCCCTGCTCAAACAACAGGATAAACATGCCAATTTTTGACCTGATCCTCATTTTCCAACAATCTTAAGGCAATGTAAAATTACCGTAATTACTCTAAATATAATCTTATCAGACAATCTCGCCTTTTGTGGTGTGTTACGAGTGCTCTGGTCTGCTTGGAATTACTTTTGGACCACTTGGATGATAAATCGGCTTCGAAACATATTGGATTCCCTTGTCTGATTTTTGGAGACAAAAGATTGCTGCCTGTTGAATGTGACGTCTAGCCAATCAGAAAGAGATGCATACTTTGCTTTTTTTGAGTGAGTCACTACACATCAGGCCACTGGGTGGTACTATTCTTCAAAATTAATTAACATTAATCCTTGTTTAGTGACGATAATAACATACATAAACCTGCACATTAGATAATATGGAAGATGCTTTGGACCAAATTGTCTACTGTATGAATAAACATGTGTCTTTTATGCTGGAAATTGCTTATTGACTGACCAGGTGTATTAAAAGAGTACTGTAGTCTACGTTAATGTAACTTTATTATAAAACCAGGTAAATCAGAGGGGCTGTTTTACCCCATGGAAGGTCAGGCTCATTGCTCAGGGGCTGAGAAATCCACATGTTTACTTTATGGTGTCAGGCTTACTCCAGCTGTTGTTATGGTTACTAATCTGCCTCTTTTGCTGGGAGGAGCTTTGGGAGCAGGGCTGAAGCACAACAGAGAGGGAGGAGGAGGGTCTTACATGTTGTTGAAAATGTCAAAACAGTGAATAAAATGATCTAATTACTTTATGCCACTGATTCTTGCCAGTAAGTTGTACAAAGTGTGTGCTCTTTTTGTATTCTTGTTTTAATCTGAGACATCCATCTCTTCTTTTTTTCACCTCCAACTGGATACAAACAGATCAACCGTATACCGTAATTTCCGGACTATAGAGCGCACCTCAATATAAGCCTCACTGGGCTAAAAGCCGCGGATATCTACTGAACTGAAAACGTAGTTTAACTGAATGTAAATGAACAAACAAAACAGAAAAGTTATTGATTGGTTTATTCATCGTCCTCCTGCGCACTGAAACCACTGAAGTCATCTTCTTCAGTGTCGGAGTTGAACAGCCTCAGAAGAGCTTCGTCACATACCTTTTCTGTGACGATGTCAGTGTCGCTCTCCGTGTTGCTGTCATCATCCTGGGTGAAGCTGGGAAAACAAGCAGCGCCGTTTTACTGTGAAAAAAATCCTCCTGGGCGCTTTCCGTAGCGCTCCTTTAACCATTCCTTCATTAGACTTCCCAGCATCCATCCTTTCTGGTTGACTAAAGCCGCACCTCATTATAAGCCGCATGGTTCAAAGCGTGGGAAAAAGTAGCGGCGTATAGTCCAGAAAATACGGTAAATCAATGAGCGTTAATAAAAAATATTACACATCTTTTCATTGTCATATTGGTTAATATTAGGCATCACCTTACAAATGACGTGAACATTGTGCTTTTCATCATTCATCAACGATCTCACCTCATACACGACAGTGTTCGGTCACTCAAAACCAACATTAGCACCGGAGAAAACACTAAAGCTCTGTCTCCTCTCCACACATACTCACGTCTCAAAGGCGGTTAAAAGCATGGTGGAAATGGTAAGTGTCTCATTATGAAATTTCTAACTTGACTATTTATGAGGAAACTGATCAAAAACTAAAACTCAACCAGTAGTAGTGCTATATGAGTTTTGGACGCTTTGCTCACAAACGACTAATGTGATTTGGAATTTTGGGTTTATTGTTTCAACCACTGTTTATTTTTAAATGATGCTGGTAGGTAGGAAGATGTTCAGTGTGGTAGAAATCAGTACCCATTTATTGTTACGTCTTGTTTCTTTTCCAAAGCTTCATCAAGTGCTGGTTCAGCTGCACTCAAGTGACAAGGAGCAAGACTTCCCTCTGACTCCTGTTCAAGTGTCGATAAGTGTGCAGCTCTGGAGGCTCCCGGGATGCCACGAGTTCCTGGCTGCGCTTGGTGTGTCGTAGTTACAAGATAGTTTACACTCCTTTTTTGGTGTTTATTCAGCAACTATTTTCAGTCAGTTGGCTGCATGTATTGATATTATCCAGCTGCTGCACTTCCACCCTTTAGAGTTCCACCTTTTGTGTTCTTCAACATTTGGGTTAATAGTTACTATTAATAAAACAGATTTTGAGCGTTTTTAAACCAATTCAGAATGTGTTATGTCCACATCACGATGCAACAGAAATATGTCATGTCTCCCTTTCCTACTGTTCACCTCTGTCAAAATAAAAGTCAATCTACAAGGTAGAGCCTAGAAAAGGTGCTGATTAACTGTTAGGAGGATAGAATGAGATGTAGTGAATCCTTCTGTCTGTGTCAGGTTTTGACCTGTGTGAGGTGGGTCAGGAGGAAGTTGTGTTGAAGACTGGAAAACAGGCCAGCATACGCAACATGCATTTTGCCCTTCAGTCTCTCCTCGCTCTGTTTGGTAAGAAAGACACCTGTAGTTTTTTTTAAAGCAAACAGTTTTATTATATTTCTAATTTTCTCTAATAAATCATCTCACTCCCTTTCTTTAAGACTCCACAGAGCTTCCTAAACGGCTGAGCATGGACAGTTCCTCCTCTCTGGAGTCTCTGTCCTCCTCCCAGTCAGCGTCTCAGCCTCAGTCTTTACCCGTTTCCCTCGGCTGCTACCCCCCTCAGCCTTCCTTACCCCCCATCTGCTCAGACAACCTCTCCTGCGATGCCATCTCCGTCTACAGCCTCAGCTCCCTCGCCTCCTCTCTCAGCTTCCTGTCTCGTCCTGAGCCTGCAGGAAGTGACGTCATCAGCCAGCGGTCACAGCAGCAGGAACCCAAAAGGCAATGTGGAGGGCCGGGTCCATCGCATCGCAGTTTGGGTGGCCTGTCCAGAGGCTGCCTGACCAATCACAGAGGAGGCCTTGTTGGAGGAGAGGATGAGGAGTATCAGGGGTTCTCCATCATAAGCAGTGAGCCACTGGGTGGAGTGGGCAGGGAGTGTGACACTCTGCCATTGCCTGCAGGACACAAACATGGTAGAGGGGCCTCTACATTGAGCCACCCTCTGGCAGTTTCCTCCAAAGGAAGCATCAGCACACCTACATCTCCACTGAAAGCTCCACCACTGCGCCTAACCTCCCCTCCCAGCCTCAAAGGGAAACAGGAAGTGTGAGTTTGTTTTTATCTATAAGATATTTAGAAATAAAGTCAGCGGTAGCACATGTGGTGTACAAGGCTGCTAAACAAAAACAGTTTTCACAGGGAAAAGAAAGAAAGAAAGAAAGAAAGAAAGAAAGAAAGAAAGAAAGAAAGAGAAAACTATCTTTTTTAATAGTGCCTCTCAAGATAAAAATCACGAGGCGTTTCACAAGAGCAAAAGCAAAAAATGTAAAAAAAAAACTTTTTTGTTATTATTTAAAAATATGGTTCAAATGAGAAAAAAATGTGATTAAAATGTAAGGAAAAGGAAAGAGAAAATGAATAGGAAAGAGGGAAATCAATGGATTATTCTAAAGAAATTTACCACAATAATTAATGTTACCTTGGTGTTTTAGAGTTGTGATTATGATCTTACCCCCTTTACAAGACACATTCAGCAAAACCAGTATCATCTAGTTTTTGCTGTTTAAAGCAGTTATTGCAGATGGAATGAATGTTTCTTGTAAATGTTTTTCCAGGCCGGTGGGGTTCTGTATCGTCTGCCTGATGGCAGCAGAGTGAAGAGGTGATTCGGGGGGTGGGAAGTGTCCTCTGTGATGAAAGTGGCTTTCCTCACCACAGAGCGCATGTATAGCTCATTCACAGGTAGTTGAGGGGTTCTGGTTTTTTGCTGGCCTGATTTATTATACGGGAGTTTTGTTTTGATCCTGATGGTGAGGAAGTTTAACCAGGCTGAGATATTATAGGTGAGAATGGAATTGATGACGAGTGATTTATAAGCCAGGGTTAAAATGTCATTGCTGATGTTAAAGCCTCATAGTTTCCTGAGCAGGTGGAGATGCTGTTGTGCCTTTTTGTAGATAGAGCCTACATGCTCAGAGAAGGATAGGCAGGTGTCGGTCTCCCCCTTAAAACTCTGTACCTGCTCCACTAACCATTGATGCTGAGCAGCTGGAGCATGATCCCTTGTTCCTTTCCACTCAGTTAATATATATAATAACTGGATCTGTTTTGCTTGATCTCTTTTTAGCCCATCACCCCTACGGACTGGAAAAGGGAAGATCAGCAGCTCTGAGTCAGACCAGTCGAGCACTGAGACGGATAGCACTGTCAAATCCCAGGAGGAGAGGATGGGGCCTGCAGGACAACTGGATCCACAAGAACTGGCCCAGAAGATCCTGGAGGAAACCCAGAGCCACATGCAGGCAGTGGAAAACCTACAGAAAGCCAACATCAAAGGAAAGGTTCAGAGGAGAGTAGAGGGCCAAGAGGTTGCTAAAGTCAAGCAGCCATCTCTTTCTACACCCTCAACCCCAACTTTTACTCCTACTAGAGGAGCGCGTGGGTTTCAGCCCTCTGAGACGAGTGCATTCAGCAGACCACCCAGCAGAGCAAGTCTTAAAGCTGGCTCATCCCCTCTTTCCGTCTCAACCCGTCTCTCATCCATCTCCTCCATGCCTGTCTCCAAACCTCCTCCAACTCGTCCTAAACCTCCATCTCGTTCCTCGTCCCTGCAGAAAATCAGCTCGGGATACAACAGTCCAGCTAATTCTTCTCCTCCTTTGTCTCTCTCTGTAAAAGAGAAGCGTTCCCCTCACCATGTGGGTTCTCCAGATCCACTCAGACTCAAATACTCCAGCTCACCTTACACCTCCCACATCTCCCCTTCACGCTCCCCTGCTGACAGTGCCCCCTCCCCAGCTCTCTCCTATTCCTCCTCGGGGTCCATCTCAGCCTCGTCCAGCCCTGCAGACGAGCTCAAGAAGTCAAACACAGATAATAAAGTCCAGGCAAGCCATAATTTTAAAACTTTGTGGGCCAACGCCAGCCAGAAACAGGAGGTGGCCTGCCCTGCCAGTTTACTCCGAGGTGGGAGTAAAAAAATGAGCACTGTCCAGAAAGATGTGTTAGGTTTGCTGAACCTCTCCCCCAGACAGGAGCCTGTCAGGAGAAATGTAGATGCACCTGAAGATCAGAAAACTGAGATCAGATCAAACGGTCACCCAAAACGGGAGGAGAAAACGCTTCCAGCAGCTAGTTTCTCAACAAACTCTAAAGGAAACATTAAGCTTCCCTCTGGGAATGGATACAAGTTTCTTTCTCCTGGACAGTTTTTCCCATCTTCAAAATGTTGATTGTTGGGAGGTCTGCTCGGATGAAATATCAGCATTTTTAATGATCCCTGTTGAAGACGAGACTTCGACACCAGCCTGAGTTAACTGTTTTTGTGTAAATGTTTGAATGTGATGACTGTGCCTTCTCACACACCCTGAGAGGCGTTGGAGTCTCTGGCTTTAATGGTGTTCGTGTTTCTGACTACAGAGCGCCCATCTTGGCGTACACTTAAATGTTCTGACAACCAGTCTGGTGACTGGATGAAAAGGGTTTTAACATTTTTATGTTCAGTCCAAACGCTCACTGTGTTTGTGTAAGTTGACCTGATCTTAATCTAAAATTCATCACATAATAATAATTCTTTTTAAATGTTACGATCATCAATTAGCCCTTACTTTTTTCCACTCAGTGTTACACATTTTATAAAGACAGGGCACCAGAAAACACTGATATTTTTATGAAGGATGTGTTTCATGTGTGATTGTTAACCCACTGCTGTTAAGTGTTTTCTTAAATTTCTACTGAAATGTTGAACTTTGCAGTTTTGCCATTCAGGAAAACCTTGATTTTCATCAAAAAATAAAAGTTTATTATTCTTCTCTTGTTCATTTGAATCTAAAAATAGTTTCTCAGGTTTTTCCTTCAGATTGTCAAAATTATTTAAATTAAACAGAAACACTTTCATGCTGATTTTCTGTAAGTATTTTAAAGATTAATTATAGTTAACTGTATATTGTATAATTTAAAATTATAAAGTAATGTTTGGGTCAGCTGTGAAATTTAGAAGATGTGTTAGGGCAGCAATACCCTTTGTACAAGTGTCTCTTTGGGCATCAGGACACGGTTCACAACATGTAAGATAACATTTTATAACAGAGACACCGTGGTGATGAAGTAGCTTTAACCCTCCCACTGTCCTAATGGGTGTGACCCCACGAGGAAAGTTGACCATTGAGCAGGGTTGATGGTTTATCCCTTGGGTCCATGTGGCAGGGGTGAGGAATGAGCACCACCTCACCCCTGCCACATGGACTTCAAGGGATAAACCATCAATCCTGCTGTAAAACAGCGTCAGCAGTTCGACAGACTAGTCTTTGGATTGTCTCCAGGTAAAAAGCGACAGTTGGTTGACAGCGTCAAATGGACCCACCTTGGGAGTGAGCTCAGCTTTTATTCTGAAAGGAACCGTTGCTTGGTTGGTAAAATGCAACAGATTTTATCCAGCTTGTTGGTTCTCAGCTTAAAAAGGAAGTCTGGATGGCCGGTCCGATACTCTGCTTATCATGCGGTGAACTCCAGTGAGATCTTGAGAACTGAACTAAGATGGCGTGGGAACTCGTTTTATTAACCTGGATGTTTTGATTTCTGGTCGAATCAAAGTTGGCAGATTTATAAACACCACAGAGACTATGCCACGCTTCAGAAAGGAAGGTTCTGATTGGATCAGTAACAGCAATGTGTCATGCATTTACATTATGTGTAGTCAGCATGTCTAGTGCACTAGATTAAAGTCATATTACTTATTAAAGCATAATAATCATAACATTGTCATTTCACAGATCGGTCAACATATTATTGACTAACACTTTGTTTTGATTAGCTTTATTAAAAATAGAGTTCTTTGATTTATTAAAAGAAAAGAGTCCTTTATCTTCATTCTTCTCCTGCTGCAAAGAAAACCGTTTTAGAAGCGAATGCATGACCTTGAGGCAGTCTCATGCACTTAGTACTGTGTCAGAGGCATCTTTAGAGAGAAGGTAAATAACCTTGGAGGAATAGCGCCTTCATCACGTTACACTGCTCAATGGTCAACTTTCCTCTCGGGGTCACCCATAAAAACAGTGGGAGGGTTAAGTGTCTGAAATGCAGAAGCCAAGGAACAATTCCTGCACAGATGCTGCTGCAGACAATTTAGTCACTAGAGATTGAGCACCTTGTTTTCTGCCACACTTATAGATCATTTACTCATTGTTACGTTCTCTATTGGTGGAAAAAGAGAAGGACAGGAAGTCACACAGAGGCATGCGTTTCAGGTGTTACAATCATAAACAATGATTTTATTAAAGGATTTTTAAAAGGCAAAAAGCTCTAAATCTAAAAGTACTTAACACATTGTTAAAATGGCCAAGGGTTTACGTTTAAAACAGACATCTGAATGCTCCCAAACATTCACAAAGTCCACTGATTATCCACAAGTTTGGGAGCCAAGAGGAAGCCAGCACTCTGGTCCCTCATCTGTTAAAAACCTCTAAAAGCTCTTAAGCTTCACAAAGCTTAAACAGCTAAAAACCCATTTAAAAGCAATTAAAACACAAACTCCTCAGCAGCCTGGAAGAGAGGAGGAGGAGGACGGGCGGTGTGATCATGACTCCTCAACCTGAAGAGGCCAGGCTGGTGGCCATAACACTCATATATACATGTGAATGGATTTTACCCATTGCGTGTTTTAAAACAATTTATTATCAAGAACAAACTGCAGTATATGCTGCAACAGCATATTACCACCATCACATTACCATCAAAAGGCAGGTCGCCTCATGATTGTAGGATTGCGGGAACAATTCTGCTGTTGTGTCCTTGGACAAGAACACCCAACGTGCTTATGTCGGTGGTAGTCAGCAAGGCCAATAGCGCAAAATGGCACCTTCGCCTCAATCAGACTGCCCCAAACAACTGTGCTTACCACCACAGGCAGTGTGTTAATAATGAGTCTAATCCATTATTATCAGTTCATCATATGAGGATACTGACTTCATGCACAAATTTAAATGAATCTGCTCAATCAAGATTTATCATTCTTTTTCAGGGGCACAATGTTATAAGTAAGATTTATTAAATCATTGTCATACATGTTATATTTTTTTCAGCTTTGAACTTCTAATAATTAAAAAATAATGTTTTAATGACATCCCACCACAGGTAATGTACAAAAAACATGAATATAGGGCAAATGTTCTTTTATTATAGTGATTTAACTTAAAGGGTGAAACTAATGTAAAAAGGTTTCCGAACATTTAGACAGTCGCTCAGTCTAAGTTGAATAAATTGACTTTTGCACCATATTCTCATTTTTAAAATTTAAAAATGTGCAGCAATCAAAACCATGATCTTTTATACGAGCATAATGCAGAAAAGTTGTAACATCTGCATGTCAAAAAATTGCTAGACATGTTGAACAACCCAAATTTAATGTCAGAGGCATCTGTGGAGAGTAGGTAAAATGGCAAATGACCTGTATTTGATACCCATTCACACGCTGGTTAGAAAACGGAGGCGAGGCTGCCGAGCACTGGCGCCATCAGTCCCTCCGACCACCACCAGCAGGCAACGTGGGTTGAGTGTGTTGCCCAAGGACACAACGGCAGCGACAGACTGAGCTGGACTCGAACCTGCAACCTTCCGATTACGGGGCAAGCACTTAACTCCTGTGCCACCGTCGCCCTGGAATTCAGCATTGGAGGAATAGCTTCAAGATCACGTTACACTGCTCAGTTGCTAGATATGTTGAACAACCCAAATCTAAAAAGGACAAATTCATGCACTTTATATAAAATATCCCATGAAAACGACACATGAAGTAAGAATTTTTCAGCCAGTCGCCTTCATCCTAGAGGGCGGGACCAACATGATGACGATGCATGTCGTCAATTTCTACTGCGCAGCCGCAGACCGGGTGACGAAAATGGTTCTCATCAAGGAATAGTGAGTCTAAAGTATTTTTTAAAATATGTTTTAGCGCAGTTCACTGGATGTTTTAGAATATAAAAGAGCGTAATAGTGAAAATTAAATATAGCTTTGTCGTCTGCAGCTATCGTTGTCGGTATCTTCCAGTAGTGTAGCCGGTAAAACGGCTGATTTGAGCAGGGTGGATCAGGACGTGGATAACGGGACACACCGGTCTTTTCAAGGCGCTGCTAGTACAAGCTAGCACTAGCTTCTGAGTTATAGCGGCATAGAGGATAATTAGCCTCTTAATAAAAACGGCTGGTATTAAAGGCTGTGCGGGGTACAAGTAGCTAAATACACATTTATCTGATTAGCGAGACTTTGATTGTATAATATATGTATGGTTAAGTGGAGTATAGCTAGCCTGTTAGCAGTGTGTCATAACTCTGATGTTAAGCTGTGGTTTTGTGTGTGACAGATTAAGGTTTCTGCTCTGACGGATTTAACAGTAAGGCTAGCTAGCAGTCGGCAACCAGCAAGCATGAGTTCATCTTTTAAGCCCATCTCCTACAGCTGAGTTATAGCTCATTACTGAGGCGTAACTTGAACAAAGAGTTGGGCTGGAATTTTGGCCGTGTCGTATTGCATTTAACTTTTCCTGATAGCTTTAGGGTTTCTTTACAGTCACTTTATTCGCGTTAGCATTAAAGAGTTAGCATTCGATAGTGGGCGGCTAATGCACCGTAGTAACCACTTTTTAAAATCTATTTGCAGTTTCAAAAACATGCGAGAGCTTCACATTATTGTACATTACAGGAACTGTGAGCTCACTGTTTTTACCTCTTCAGAATAATAAGTGCTTGATTTGTTACTAATGAAATCTACATAACGGTACCTGTTGTATTTAATGAGTTATAAGGTGTTATATTCTAAGCTTGATCAAAATACAAAGACATGGGTTATTTAAAATTTTATAATTTTCGCGGAAGGGAAATTTAAGATCAACTGTGAAATGATCTTGTTCCTTATATTTTATCCTACTGTTTAATAATTGATTTGTTTTAATCTAAATAAGTGTTCACTAACAGGTGATGCCAGTAGAAGCATGAATGTAGTCAATACAGTATTAAATTGAGGTTTCATCCACATATAGTTTGTTCTTTCTGCTTTATTGCTGACAGACTGGTGGTTATAATTAATTGTATATTTAATGAATTGAAGATTAAAGTGAATCATCAAACAAATATTTTGTGCCCAGTTCTATTTCCAGAAATAGAGGAATACGAAGAAACAAGAAAGCGCTACACGCCAGTCGCTGTTTTCTAGGTCATGACTTCAAATGGTGTTTTTAGTTTTGGGTCTCTGGTAGTTAATCCTAAAGTTGAAGTGCTAGAGGCCGGCTGTTTATCCCTCTGATATTATTGAGCTGAGAACCTCTCACACCAGTGGTGTTCTGTTGCTAAATACACAAGTGTGTAATGAGTGGAAGACCTAGGGGAGTGCAGCGGTTTGGCAAGACCGACAACCAGATGGTCCAACGGTAGCTTTCGGTCTGAAACGTGTTGTTGACTGAGGTTTGTAGACGACTGCAAATGAACCACTTCAATATTAGATTTTTTGTTAGTTTTTTTTATCTCCACAATACATATTTATAGCTATACTATATTAGAGAGTTGTTAAGAAGCATGAGAAAAGTGTTTGAAGCTGATTTGTTTACCAAATTTGCCATTGAAGCTTACTGGTGAGCTTTTATTTGTGAAACAAAACAGTGTTATGTGAGTTTATTTTCTTTTAGCTAAAGCAAAAAAGTTGAGTGGATTAACTTAAATCGAGTTGGAGTGATAAACTTTAGTGTCAAGTATATTATTATGCAGCCACAATGATTTTTATATATATTATTTTTTGCATTTTGATGTAAACAGTCAGTAATAAAAAATGTATATAAAGAACAAAATGGAGGGAGACAAACAAAAACAGATTAGCTTTAATTCAAATATGTTTGTTGGATGTATGAGGAAAAAAGATGGTGAAAGGTGGTAATTGCAATGTGAGATCATTTCCACTTTTACTTTTCTTTTTTGGGGCTTTTAATTTTAAGTTATTGTTACTTTCACTTTTACAGATAATGTAATAATTATTAAATAAATTAACATTATTTATACACAGGTAGCTGATTATTTTTGCTGTATTCATTAGTAATATAAATAAAAATAGAAAGGCTAACTGGACTAGTTTTTGAAACAGTTTCATGAAGTTAAAGTCTAGTCATCTTCAAAATTAAAATAAATTAAACTATTTGGATTGTGATGACTGAGATGCTACACAATCAAATATGCCAAAGCATGTTAAAGATTTTTGTTATGTAGACATAAGTTTTACTTAAACATTTCTACCTTCAGCAGTACATTTTGTTTTGTTTCTGCTTTTTTAAACATAGCTATGTCAACAAAAAGCAATGCAATCAAAGTTGTGGGTTTTGATTTTATTCTTTCCACAAACTGTCACAAGTTGGTGTCATTGAAGATCTAAAATGAGGGAAAAATAAATAATATGCTAAAATGACCATATGATACTAAACTCCAATTTTCATATTGATGCTGATACCGCCCTCCTGGTTTAAGTTAACCAAGCTCAGAAAGGGGTGTGTCACACCAATTCTGTTATATTAACCAGCTGCACTTAATATGAGGAAACTGTGTTGTGCTTGTATGCAAACAGAGGTATGTAAACATGTAGTAGCTGAGATAAACTGATCAACAACAGGACTCCTGGGGCTTAAAGGTGCAGTATGTAAGAAAATAGTGAGAATTTTAGGAGGGACTTAACCACTGTATACCATCAGTGAGTGTGGGAGTGCTGTGTCTCCTGCCAGCTAACACTGCAGCACCGATAATTGTAATTTGAAAATGGCCGACAAAAAGCTCCAGAGTAGTTTAAAGTGGTTGCAGTAACCAAATATTACCACTGGATGCCATATTTACTGCATTTCTACATAATGCATCTTTAAGTCAGTTCCTTGAAAATAGACCAGGATGTCTCTTATGTTTGTAATGAGTTTGGTTAAAACAATTATTTGTTGTGTGAAGTTTCTGCTCTGTAGGAGTTTGTGTGGTCTGTTACAGTCCATGGCAGGTTTGTTGTGGAGTTACATAACTGCGTGTTACCTAGACGACAGGATCACTTGAACAGGTCTTCCTGTGCAACCATCTGCTTCTTTTTAATCATGCAAGCCATTGTTCCCGAGCAATCTTTCTGATTCTGTTACTTGTCAAACATCAGTGAGTTTAAACCATTTGTCTTCATGGTAGAGATGTGAAACTCATTGCTAAGGGTGTGGTTTTTAACCCTCTGTCATCATATTCTGCAAAGTGACAACTTCTCTTGATGGTTCCCAGAAGAAAAGTGAAATAAACTGATGATTTGATAAACTTTTTTTTCTACCTGTTTATTTTTTCAACAGTCGGGTTGTAAAAAACGTTTTATCCTGCATTTAAAAATGATCACCAAGTTCATCTTTTTGCATAGAGGTTCAAATTGAACTTACAGGGTCCTTAAAAGGCCTTCATCAGGCAGGTGTTTATGTTAAGAATGTGGTTTGAGTTTTAAAATATCTATGGAATACTATGAAATAGAAGAACTCCAAACAAGCAAATTCCCTTTTTACTCTGTCTGAGCAAATGTTCTCTCTTCATAATTTAAGTAATACACAGAGTAATAAGGTTCAATACTAGCTGCTGTTTCAGCTGTTGATGTTGCTGCTCTAATATTTGATTTTCTCTGGATGAATTAGATTTTAGTCATTTATGTAAGCATGTGTGGGCAAGAGCAGTTTGCCTTTAAAATGTTAATGGATTAACCTGATGACACCGTTTGCATATTTAACACATTTGGTTTTTTATACACATTTTTGTGATAAATTTTAGTTTTTGACTTAAAATTGGAATTGATTTCATGTTTATTTTCAAGTGTCCTTGATTTTGCCATTATCAAATATACTCAAGTATTTATATGATACTGTAGTACTTTATTATCAAATATACTCAAGTGTTTATATGATACTGTAGTACTTTATTATCAAATATACTCAAGTATTTATATGATACTGTAGTACTTTATTATCAAATATACTCAAGTGTTTATATGATACTGTAGTACTTTATTATCAAATATACTCAAGTATTTATATGATACTGTAGTACTTCATTATCAATTATACTCAAGTATTTATATGATATTGTAGTACTTCATTATCAATTATACTCAAGTATTTATATGATACTGTAGTACTTTACTATCAAATATACTCAAGTATTTATATGATACTGTAGTACTTTATTATCAATTATACTCAAGTATTTATATGATACTGTAGTACTTCATTATCAATTATACTCAAGTATTTATATGATACTGTAGTACTTTACTATCAAATATACTCAAGTATTTATATGATACTGTAGTACTTTATTATCAAATATACTCAAGTATTTATATGATACTGTAGTACTTTATTATCAATTATACTCAAGTATTTATATGATACTGTAGTACTTCATTATCAATTATACTCAAGTATTTATATGATACTGTAGTACTTTACTATCAAATATACTCAAGTATTTATATGATACTGTAGTACTTTATTATCAATTATACTCAAGTATTTATATGATACTGTAGTACTTTGTTATCAAATAAACATAAGTATTTATATGATACTGTACCCTTAATCAATTTCCCTCTGGGATTAATAAAGTATTTTTGAATTGAATTGAATTGTAGTGCTTTGACACTTCCAACCCTTTGGACTGATAGACTAATTCCTCATGTATTGTTTACACTGAGCACTTGCTGATGCCAGGTTTAGGTGAAATGATTTTCATTGTGGATTTTGTACTAATGTGCTAAATGTGTTTTTATTTTTGTCTGTTTTCTGTCCCTCCTCTCAGCCGTGTTGTGTTGCCGGTCTCTGTGGAAGAGGTGAGTGTTTATATCTCTTCTTTGATAATGTTCTTATAACATAATAAATCACTTACAATTAGTGTAGAAACAATTTTAAATAGATTATATAGAGCAAAGATTCTATTTAGTCTTTTTCTTAATAACACACAAAGCTCTCCTCCACTTAGGTCTGAGTAAGAAGCTCACAGTGAGACACAATAGCCTTTGTGACCGTCCTGCTGGCATCACTATGTTTCTGTGCTGGTGTTGGTTGTACACAGAAGCACTAACTGGGGCGTGGGCATGATCCCTAAAAAGCTAAAAGTCAACCATCTCAGAGACAGTAGACATCTCGATACTTGGCCTCAAAAAGTACATTGCTCTCTGTCTGACATGTATCATCGCGCGCGCGCGCGTGTGTGTGTGTGTGTGTGTGTGTGTGTGTGTGTGTGTGTGTGTGTGTGTGTGTGCTGATATAATGCTATGAGCAGGTATAGAAGGATGCTGCACTTTTGTAGTTAGAAGTATAATTTTCACAGTAATTATTAGTATCATGGGAAGGGGTCATTTTTCTTAGGTATTCTCACTGTTACTTAAAAACTTAGGCTTCAGTTTGCATATTTCATAAAATCTAGTGGTGGAGTGGGGCTGTGTGCTTCCTAAAGTCCACAACAACCTCCAATTCAATTCAAGTTTATTTATATAGCGCCAAATCACGACAAGAGTCGTCTCAAGGCACTTCACATAATAGACATTCCAATTCACAGTTCATTAAGCCAATCAGAAATAATGTTTCCTATATAAGGAACCCAGCAAATTGCATCAAGTCACTGACAAGTGTCAGTGACTATACAGCAATCCTCCACTGTCTTCTGTGCGTTTAGCACCAGGTTGTTGTGGCTGCTCCAGGTCACCAGCCGTTCAACCTCCATTCTGTAGGCAGACTCATCCCCGTCAGATGAGTCTGATGACGGTGGTGTCGTCTGCAAACTTGATAAGCTTGAAAGACTCGTGGTTGGAGGATCAGTTGCTGGTGTACAGGGAGACGAGCAGAGGGGAGAAAACACAATCCTGAGGGGAACCAGTGCTGATGGTCCGCAGGCCTGAGACATTCTTCCCCAGCCTCACTTGCTGCTTCTTGTCCGTCAGGAAGTGAGTGATCCGCCTGCAGATAGGGTCAGGCATGTTCATCTGGGACAGTTTGTCTTGGAGGAGGTCTGGGAGGATTGTGTTGAAGGCAGAGCTGAAGCCCACAAACAGGATCCTGGCGTAGGTACCCGGGTAGCCCAGATGCTGCAGGATGAAGTGTAGAGCCTTGTTGATGGCATCATCTACAGACCTGTTGGCTCTGTAGGCAAACTCAGGGGGTCCAGGAAGGGAGCTGCGAGGGTCTTGAGGTGTAGGAGAACCAGGTGCTCAAATTAATTCATGACCACAGATGTCAGAGCCACAGGTCATTGAGTCCAGTGATCCTTGGCTTCTTGGGGACAGGGACTGTGGTGGAGGTCTTGAAGCAGGCTGCTGCCTCTTGTGTCTGCGTTTCTGTAGTGGATTTGTAAATGGAGCAGCTATTCTTGCATTTTATACCATGTTTTTTCTTTCTGTCTCGGTTTGTCATAGTATCAAGTAGGACAGCTGTACTCCGTGGCCGAGGCCAGCAAGAATGAGACAGGAGGAGGAGAAGGCATCGAGGTGCTGAAAAATGAACCCTACGAAAAGGAGGGGGAGAAAGGACAATACACACACAAAATCTACCATCTAAAAAGGTAAGTCTGAAACACTTTGACTCTTTAAATGAGTCATTTAAAAATGTAAAATTCAAGTTGCAGCTTTGCTGAACGTTTGGGTGCAAAGACAGCAGAACATTAATTTGGCAGACAGCAGCAAGAGTGTGAAGACGTTCTGTTTATTGCTTCCTGGTGTTTATGGAGGAAGCAGTGAGTCAGTCTTGTGACAGCCATTTATAGCAGTTTTCCCAAGCTGAAGCTGGGAAGTAATTATTCTTTATGAGCAGTGATATCACAAAGCAGTCATACTTACCCAGTGTCCTAAATAGGTAAGGCACTTAAAACACGCAGGACTGGTATTAGAAACAACAATGTGATCTGATTTATTGTCCACATTACTGACAGGTTTGCTTGTGTTCTCATCTGTTAGCTGTTCTCAAATCAGTTTTCTGTTTTGCTGTGGATGTATTTAATGGTTATCAAGTAAACTAATGAAAAGTGGAAGGCTGGAAGGCTTATAAAAAGAGCTGGGCCAGTGTAAAACGTTCTGTTGTCTGATCATCATGAGAACAAGACTCTGATGAAGCACTTTGTCCCATCACAGTAGCTGAATTTTCTGCAGGATTTATGCACAGTCTGTTAAATATTAACGTATAAACAAAGTTGTTTTAACTCCTTTTTTCTAGATCATTCCCTGCACTTCCCTTCCTCTACTCTACTGCTCTTAATACACTTCCTCATGTGCTTGCACTTTGTTTTCTACACCCAGTCACCTCTGACTACTGCTCTTCCTTGTTATTGTTAGCCTCAAGCATAAATGCTTTGTTATATTGTCATTTGTAAGTCTCTTTGAACAAAAACAAATACATAAGCAAGCTTTTAGTCCCTACATGATGCAGGCGTAGGATATATTGTGCAAAGTGGCAGTAATTTTGGGTTTAACTGTATAGTATTGATTGATATTATCATTAAATATCTATGTGGAAATGTGGCGTAGGAGCGAGGGATAGTTCCTCACATTAAAAAAGACATTTGTTATCTCAGAGGATAAAAAAGATGTAATTTTAAGTTCTACTGAGTTTGACATTCGTTTGGATTTCAAACTTTACTAGTGGTGAACCAGAAGAAAGACACAAAACTCCAGACGTTACTGACTGTGAAGGTCCCATCATCATGTCTCAGTAAAACTTCATAAACCTGTGATTTATTAACAATAATTTGCACAAAGATTTAGATTAGTGCTTGATGTTAAGAGCAGCTAGTTAGTCCATGGGAGCATATGGTTGGGAAAAGCACTTTTCAGTGTCAAGCGTGATTTTATTTGTGTGTGAAGTCATCTGTTTGAATGAGCAGAAATGTAGCTGTTTCTTGATTTAGATCATTTCAAGCTCTCCTGCACTCTTGTACTCGAGCACAACAACAGTGAACAGTAAAGTCTCTGAGATTAGGTTTTACGGTTTAGATTAGGATTGACCCAACCTAAAACATCACTATGTGAGGAAACAGTTTCTGCTACTCGTCTGAGGCAGTTCAAGGTTTCTAGTGTTGATGGAGACTCACTCTTTAAGCTACATTCAGACAGAAAACACAAGAAATTAATGTTTTGTGTCACAAAACTTGGTGTTAAATAGATGACCATTGTCCTTAACTCTGTCCACAGTCGCCGCTCAGTTTCACAGTTTTTCTTCGCTGTTTCCCTCTGCAGTAAAGTTCCGGGGTATGTGAAGATGATTGCACCAGAGGGAGCATTAGTTTTTCACGAAAAGGCTTGGAACGCGTATCCTTACTGCCGCACCAGTAAGTTTACGCTGAACACAAACAACATCTGCTTACTGTCCGCACTGATGTGCTTGCAGGTTTTAAAACGTGTCTCACATATTGTCAAATGCTTGGTGGATTTAAACCTAACTTTATTTTTGTTTCTCCTTATTGTCTTCTTTCTTTGTCTCTTCTGCAGTTGTGACGGTGAGTTTATCAGCTTTTTGTCTAGAATTTTCCACATCCTGATATTACTCTAAAATCTGTCTGCGTATCTTTTTTAGCTTGTGTAGTTGAGACGATCTTAGACATTTATGCTTGCCTGTCAGTTTCTAGACATCTACAGGACAGGAGTCACGGCTCAGAGTCACACAGGCAGTTTACAAATAATAACCTGTTTGTTTTTCAAGACGCACTGGCAAGCTAACAACTGTTCCTCGGGTTTAAAGTGGATCAGAGCAAGGCAGTGCAGCAACCCGGGTGTGGTTTCAGTCTTAAGGCCTAATTGACTAATTGGATTTAGCTGTTGGCTTTAGGTACATCCCACTCGACCCTCCATTCATGGCGCTGTCTTAGCCACCCATTCTGAGATTATCATGTAAAACCTGATTTACCTGGCTGTTAATAGTTCTGATTACATCTGTCTTCTCTGCTGCTTTTTCAGAACGAGTACATGAAGGACGACTTTATGATAAAGATCGAGACATGGCACAAACCCGACATGGGAACGATAGAAAATGTGAGTGAGTTGAGGAGGTAAATGGAGTGTGTTAAAAAATATATTCTAAATAATCTAGTGTGAAACTTGTGTGTAGTCAGGAGTCTGAAAATGACACCAGCATTGATAAAACCCTGTGTGTATTCACCAGAGTGAACACTGAATGTGAGTGTGTATTAGCGTTGGGCCATATGGCCTACAATCAGTACCATATTGTGGAGTTCACCTCGATAATGATAAATGGACGAAAACTACGTGTATGCAAATAGAATAAAGTTGTCCACTAGATGGGGCTGTCACGAGTCACGCAGTCATGTGGTACAGCTTCTTAAAGTAACATGAACGTTGCCAACCCACACACATCTTTCCATTTTTTTTTATTACCTAATTTATTGGCATAGGAAAAAGGATATCAGTTAGAGTCAGAAATTTAGATCATGATAGAGACATCTCCTAAACAAACTCTGAGCCCTGATAGGGCATGTGTTGTCATTCAGAACTTTATTTTTTTGTCTTTAGTTTTATATTTGAAATATTAAAACATAACAACAGATTTTGTACATATTATGATGCATAACTTTATTTTAAGCTTTGAAAGGTCTAAACTGCTATAGCTCTCGTTTCTCAACACAAAATATTCTTTATTTAAAACTTTGGCTTGAAAGATGATATTAATTTCTGACAGGAGTATTTGACCTTTAGTCTCATCCTGGATTTCCTTGTCTCCTTTTTAAACAAGCAGGTAGAAACGACAATAGAGCTGTTTAAAACATGAAACCCAAACATTTACATCCGAATAAACAAACCAAACTAAATGGACATGGATTTGAATGTGACTTGAGTTACATCACAGAGATTTGAATTCATCCCCCAAATAAACAAAGCACCTTTGTTTCATGTTCATGTGCTGCAGGTCCATGACCTGGATGAGCAGACATGGAGGACGGTGGAGGTGGTGCACATAGATATTGCAAATAAAGAAGAAGTGGCCCCAGGGGTGAGTTCAACTCATTTAAAGGTGTTTCTGAAGTGGAAAGCACTCGTTGGCCTTAGATTTAGGAAGAACCATTCCTGCTTAAGGTTCTAAGAAAATTATTTTCTTTGTTTTGAAAAAGGTTTGTTTGTTGACTTAATGTTCCAAATCTTGTCAAGGTGTTTTCATCTCATAAGACCTGGAACTGTTTTGGTTTCCCAGTTTAACTATAAAAACTAGGGATGCACCGATATGAATTTTTTGGGCCGATACCAACATCCGATATTAATATCGCTGTTATAGCCGATTGATTCGGAAAAGGGTAGAATGTCAGGGATGAGGTCTGCCCCAAGTAGAGGAGTTTAAGTATCTCGGGGTCTTGTTCACGAGTGAGGGAAAACTACAGCGTGAGATCAATAGGCGGATTGGTGCTGCATCTGCAGTGATGCGGGCGTTGTACCGGTCTGTCATGGTGAAGAGAGAACTGAGTCAGAAGGCGAAGCTCTCGATTTACCGGTCGATCTACGTTCCTACCCTCACCTATGGCCATGAGCTTTGGGTAGTGACTGAAAGAATGAGATCGCGGATACAAGCGTCCGAAATGAGTTTTCTCCAAAGAGTGGCTGGGCTCTCCCTTAGAGATAGGGTGAGAAACTCGGTCATCCGGGAGGGGCTCGGAGTAGACCCGCTGCTCCTCCACATCGAGAGGAGCCAGTTGAGGTGGCTCGGGCATCTCGTCAGGATGCCTCCTGGACGCCTCCCTGGTGAGGTTTTCCAGGCACGTCCAACCGGGAGGAGACCTAAAGGTAGACCCAGGACACGTTGGAGAGACTATGTCTCTCACCTGGCCAGGGAATGCCTTGGGATTTCCCCGGAGGAGCTGTCCCAAGTGGCTGGGGAGAGGGAAGTCTGGGTCTCTCACCTTAGGCTACTGCTCCCGCCACCCAACTACGGATAAGCGGATGGAAATGGATGGATGAATTATGGCTGATAACTGATAGTTGCAGATACTGATTTATGCTTCTGAAATCGGCAAATTTTGTATAGACTGAAATTATGCAAGATGAATTTTTGAATGTTTTGCTTCATTTCTATAGAGTGGAATTTGCAATATGTTTTATACACACACTTCTGATGCTTCTGAGATGATTACCATCACTGTCACAGGACTAAACAGCTACACATCATCACCCCCTCACCCTCTGAAACTGATACACAAACGGAAACAAGATGGAAAAAATATTGGTTGTTAATATCGGCCCAGTTTTACTTATCGAACCGATACCGATATTCAAAAATGACCAACATCATTCGGTCTCGATATTGATTCCAATATATCGTGCATCCATAATTAAAAGTTTTTATGTTCCTGATCTACTTTCATAGACTGGTGTCGATCCAGACCATGTTTAATTAGCAATGCATGATTAATACATGGTTTTGTAAAATAAAACATTTTTAATATGTTCAAGATTAAGGTTTAACAATGGCTATGTTTATAACCAGTCCATGTATTGTACAACACTTATGCCCTTCAATTATCTATACTGAACAAAAATATAAACGCAACACTTTTGTTTTTACTTCATGGGCTGAACTCAAACATCTGAAACTTTTTCTACAGGCACAAAACACCCATGACTCTCAAATATTGTTCTGAAATCTGTCTATGTGTGTTAGTGAGCACTTTTACTTTACCAAGATAATCCATCCCACCTCACAGGTGTGGCATATCAAGGGGCTGATTGGACTGCATGAATAATGTACAGGTGTGCTTTAGATTGCCCACAATAAAAGGCCATCCTGACATGTGCAGTTTGATCAAACAGTACTGTGCCACAGATGTTGCAACCTTTGAGGGAGCGTGCAATTGGCATGCTGACTGCAGGAATGTCTACCAGAGCTGTTGCCCATGAAATTAATCTTCATTGCTCTACCATAAGCCATCTCCAAAGGCGTTTCAGAGAATTTGGCAGTACATCCAACCGGTGTCACAACCGCAGACCACGTGTGACCAAACCAGCCTAGGACCTTCACATCCAGCATATTCACCTCCAGGATTGCCTGAGACCAGCCACCTGGACAGCTGCAGCAACAATCAGTTTGGATAACCAGAGAGTTTCTGCGCAAACTGTCAGAAACCATCTGAGGGAAGCTCATCTGCATGCTCGTCATCCTCATCAGGGTCTGGACCTGACTGCAGTCCGTCGTCGTAACTGACTTGAGTGGGCCAACACTCCCATTCAATGGCGTTTTGCACGTTGGAGAGGCATTCAGTTCACAGATGAGTCTAAGGCACACCTGTACATTATTCATGCTGTTGAATCAGCCTCTTGATATGCCACACCTGTGAGGTGGGATGGATTATCTTGGTAAAGGAAAAGTGCTCACTAACACACACGTAGACATAATTCAGAATAGTATTTGAGAGTCATGGATGTTTTGTGCATGGAGACAAATTTTCAGATGTTTGAGCTCAGCTCATGAAAAATGGGAGCAAAAACAAATGTGTTGTGTTTTTATTTTGTTTAGTGTAGAATCAGTGTTAGCAAGTCAGCTAAGAGCTAAAAGTCCTTCAGGCATGAGCATGAACCCATTGTCTTCTGCTGGTCTGGCTATCAGAGACCCTGAAGGAGGTTTTCTGTCACACCACCATGGTCTTTTCTGAATAGGCAAATAAAGAAAGATAAATCTAGAAAACCATGTTTTCAAAAGTTATTGGATGTAGAAGTTTATTTTCCCCAGATCTAGACTCAGGCCCATCTGATTAGCTCTGTAACTCAAAGCAGTCATTTAATTCCCAACATCCCACTTACTCCATCGGATGACTTTATCGTGTGCCTTTTTCACTTTGAGTTTCTGTCTTAACCACATCTGTGGATTAGTAACTTTTACTTCTATTTTAATGTTTATTCTTGTGTGAAAACAAATACACTTAATTTGTTGGGCCCATAAAGTAATAAAGTTAATCAAAGCATTTTGACATAACACTTTACTATTAATCGTTATAGTGATTCAGGTTCACGGGTAAATAAAAGTAGTAAACTGTGTCTCTTGTTTTAGGTGTTTGTTGTTCACTATTTTAATATTTTAACACTGGCTGTTCTTGACCTTTGACCTTATATAGAAATCTGATTTGGACCTGCTCAATATCAGTCTAAGCCTGGCTGTAGTCGTTTTGTTCTTCATTTTCTGTGGGGTTTTTTTTTTTTGTTGTTTTACTTCTCTAGACAACACTTGATGGTGTGTTTTATTATCACCAGTACTTGTGTTTGCGTGACCCATCACCATGCACCCAGGTCACAGATCACTCTTGTTTTACTCAGAAAGTATTTATTCAGTTTGTAGTTTGGAGCTAAAAACGTAGGTGTGATCCTGTGCAGTTCTGATACCAGATAATAGTTTACTTCTAAATACAATTAAATACTTCCTGGGGTCAGAAATCTGCCCATTTCAGTATCTTAATCAACTAAACAAAGAAGAAAGTGAGTCTGAGCTTCAGCAGTGAGACAGGAGACATCACAGACATCTCTGTCTTAGAGCTGATGTGTTCAAAGCATGATGTCTCCACCCTTAGGAAGCCTGTGTTGTCTAGGCATCCTACTGGCGAGTATAGACTTCAGTTGCAAGCTGGACTTGTGTGTCTGTAAGAAAATAACTGGGTCACATCTGCAGTAAATTAGAGTAGAAGAGTTATAACACTCCTCTTCCTCAAGTTTCAACACCAGTTTTATTTCAGTTTTCTATCTCTTCCTATTTCTCTACACTTTTCTCTGCTTTTGGTAGAAACTTTACAGAAAATAAATATTTTGGAACTTATTCAGTTTTCTTTTCGGGGGGGGGGGGGGGGGGGGGGTTGGCATGTCTCCTCCCTGTCTTGCATTAGCTCCTGGACAGTAATGACTTAAGTGGATCAGAGTTGAGGCCACAGCTAAATCTAAACATCCATCTGCACCAAGTAATCACAGCAGAGCTGGTGGATTAAAACAGCACAGCAAGCTGTGAACTTGGGAGTTGGGATGTGGGGGGTGCATTTACAATACAACCTTGCTGTTTATTGAAATCTGACTAAACTGAAGGAGTGTTTTCAAGAGGAAACTGGTCACTTTTCATTTTTGCAGTACCGTCCTCTTTCTCTTTTTCTTCTGCAGACAGAAAGTCTGTATGTGGGTTCATCTGTGTGTCATCACTGCTGCGACACTTCCTGTGTGTGTGTGTGTGTGTGTGTGTGTGTGTGTGTGTGTGTGTGTGTGTGTGTGTGTGTGTGTGTGTGTGTGTGTGTGTGTGTGTGTGTGTGTGTGTGTGTGTGTGTGTGTGTGTGTGCGTGCGTGCGTGCGTGCTTTAAATGAAATAATGTTGATTTGCACTTGGGACTTTGGCGCATCTGAGTAATGTGTTTGTCTGGTTTGTGGCCAGGTGCAGCTGTGTTAGTCAGGTCTGTTTAGTCCAACATGTCAATGTTCTGTGTATTATTATTATTATTTTTATTTTTATTTTTTCAGGACTACAAACCAGAAGAAGATCCTGCTCTTTTCCAGTCTCTCAAGACAGATAGAGGACCACTAAGCCCTGAATGGAAGGTGCCTGTCTTGGAAAAAAAACAAAACATTGGTTTCCACCTGGGATCATCTGATGATCTGTTTTCTCCTCCTGTTTCTTCAGAATGAGCTGAAGTCAGATTGTCCTTACATGTGTGCATACAAGCTGGTCACTGTCAAGTTCAGATGGTGGGGTCTGCAGACTAAAGTGGAAAATTTCATCCATAGGGTAATGCACACACTCTCTTTTTAGATATATAGTTTTTCCCCCTGCTTGTGCTTTAGACTTTACACAAAATAGGAAGTGTCAGGAAATCATCACACTCGACTCTCTTCAGCTGTGCACGACCAGCTCCCTGCCTGCTACTGGGTGAACCTCAGCCCCTGAGCGGTTAAGAAACTCCTTCACTCACTTCATCGATCTGTTGTGCCAAGAGCTCCTGACCACTGTTCAAAGCGTCAGTTTCCAATTAATCTCCTTGAGACTCCAACCTTCTTCTCTCTTGCAATCCACTCATACTCTAGTTCAGCCAGTGGACTGCTAGCCGTTGCTCTCCACCCGCTATCTTCCTCTTCATCAGCTTTACTCTGCCTATGAGTCCTCTCAGCCACCAGTTCCTGTCGTCTCTGCCACCCACGCCATCCCTCCTCTGCATCTGCATGTGGAACGCCGAGCCATGACTTCAGTTGTCGCCAAGCCCCACTAGCTCATTCACTGAGAAACAATCTAATACTGTAATGTAATTGGGCACTCTGAGTTGCACATGCATGCTGGACATGAAAATTTTCGTCAGCCCACATTGTTTACATCAGCTGCAGAAAGAAAATTGCCAGGAAAACGGACGGGTCGGAAAAAGCCAGTCTCTTCCACGTGGAAGGCTACTGTTGATTTAGCTGCCAGGAGAAGCTAACCATTAGCATTAGCAACTCCACAATATGGCTGAGCACATTCAGGCTTGTGTTACTGGTGGAGATTAAACATCAGCATTGCAATTTTTACATAGGAAAGAAGATAAGACAAAGGCAGCAGAAGGGTCATGTTGTTGTTTGCCAGTCAGAGGCAAGATGTTGGGATGTCATGAATAATAATGACTCCAAATCCTGCTGTTTTTCCGCCCCCTTTCTGCCATCTTCGGGAGACCTTTAACCCTCTCAGGCTCAAAATAAGTTTTGATAAAACGACAAACAAATAAGTCCTTCAGGGGTACTCCTGAGTTAAAAAATGCTCATGAAATACGTTTGTGGAGTAACCAGGTAGGTAGATTTTAACGTTGCAAATCTGCAATTCCTGCCTCCAGAGGGTTATGGGAAATGGCCTGAAAGGCGTGGCTTAAATTAAAACATAGTTAATGTTCCTGTTTTTAATTTTGGGCTCCAGTTTCTCATTGAAACATAAACTAGAGACAAACGTAAACCAGAGCCCGCCAGCTTTATTCTGTGTTGTTGAACTTTTACGCTAAAATAATTTTTGTCCTCATTTCTGCAGCAAGAAAAGCGAATTTTCACCAACTTTCACCGTCAGCTGTTCTGCTGGATCGACAAATGGGTGGGTTTGACCATGGAGGACATCCGACGGATGGAAGAGGAAACTCAGAAAGAGCTTGAGGAGGTAAACACTCATCAGGTGTACAACAACACAGTTCCTCTTCTTGTTGTGATTTGTTTGGTATTAAGAATATGTTCCAGTTGCTTTTTTCCCCTTAATGTACGTGCTTGTAAATGCTGTAATGTTTTAGTCAGCCTGCAGGAGACAACCTTACAGGCTTTAACATGTTTAACTCCAGTTTACTCCTGAATTTCACATTAGATGCGTCAGAAAGGTGATGTGCGAGGCACCTCTGCAACAGACGAGTAGAGGCACGATGCTGTAGGTCAAACACTAGAAGCAGGCTGAGTAAGTCTCTACACAGACCGGTTGGTGCTGCTGCATGGATCATTCTCCACAGTTGTCTTCAAACTCCTGACCAACATGTCTGTCCATTGTTCTGGAGCTGTCTTCTTTGTTTTCATCTGTTTGTGTTTTAGATCTCATTCCTGTTTTTATTTAATTTTTCTTTGCTTCTAACACATGGATCCTGTTGTTCAACTATAGATCCACTATCTCAGGCTAAATGGGGTGAGTTACTGAAGTTACAGAAGTGTGTGAACAGCTGGAAGATCTAAACCTCAACAATCCAGCTAAATGTGATAAAGGGCTTGTGGTCGTGTCATCATCATCGCCGCTGCCAAGTTGAAAACCTTGTTGTTTCTAGTTACTTCACACAATAGTGTGTTCAGTCGTGCAGCTTCATTTAATCTATTATTCATTTGATTATTCATTACTCAATCATGGTAAATCGTTGCTGTCTTGTGGGGTGCAACTCCGCAACATTAGCATATCATTGCCAGTGAAAAAAAGGAGAGAAACAGGCTAACTTTTCACCATTTTCCTGCTTGGATGCATAACCACGGAGACCAAGTAGCTGACATAACTAAATCTTGTTGGCTCACTTGGATCGGTAGGCTCGGTAGCTCTAAGGTGACCAAACATCACTCTCCAGAGGTTGACAGTAATTCAATAATGATACATACAATGGTGTATGGTGCGATAGTATAAAAAAAAAATAAAAAAGTCGATAAAAAAATGGCTCCTTACTTTTTTCATTATAGCCAATCAGGTTGTTTAATACTAGACTCCCTAGTAGGCTGCACACATACTTCTAGGCTAAGGGCAAAGTGCCTCATAATTTTTATCTTGAGAGGCGCTATATAAATTATTGTTTGTTCTTCCTCTTCTATTGCGGGCGCATCTTCAGCGGCAGCAAGTTGTCGTCGGTGCTCCAGTCTTGGGTCTTTCATATGGATCCATCATGTGGATTTATAGTTCTGATTTTGTCCATATACCAGTTCCTGCTTTCCCTATTTAACGTATCCCTGTATATACTGCACCCTTTTCGAGATTTTAACATGTTGTTTACATAGACGTGTATACTGAATGTAGGACCACCCATTTCTCTAATTTCTCTATTTTGAGACAAAAAAAAGGTGGTTCCTACCACCACCATTTTGGCAGTGTCACACGTCTAGTTATGCCCAGACAATTCAAAAATAGGAAAAGAGGTAGAGCTTAGAGTGGGTCTTTGAGGGTAGGAGTAAATGAACCAGTGCACCTACTAGCTAACTGAGCTAACTCCCGAAGTTAAGACAGATGTCCGGGACAGCCGCCCTGCCCGTCCTCCTGGCTTCTGTGTGAGGCTGTATTTGTGCTGTTCGCCTGCAGAGCTCCAATATGGACTGTAAAAATACCAGAAGAGCCTCAAACTGCTGCGATCGGACCCGGGTGCCAACGGTAGTATTTTTTCAGATATTGTGCCCATCGTTGCTCTGAAAGGTATAAAATAGAATGATTCGGGCCCTTTATCGGTTTTTGGTCTGTGATGACACAAATAGCACACAGAGAAAACATCTGTTTCAGTGGTATTTATCTCTTTAATAAAGTCCATCAGGGAGAATAAACTATTCACTAGTGTTTGTTTTATAGATGATTTTCACATATATTTATAAAGCCAGGACAGTGGAGAAACACCAGTGCGTTTAATTGTTGACATTAACCCTCTGGAGGCAGGCGTTGCAGATTTGCAACAGTTAAAACCTACCTACCTGCTTACTCCACATACGTATTTCATGAGATTTTTTTTACTCAGAACTTCTCCTGAAGGACTTAGTTGTTCGTCCTTTTATCAAAACTTAGCTTGAGCCTGAGAGGGTTAAACAAATTACAGATTTGGTCCCTCCAGACCTTTTAGATCAGACGAGCCTGACAAACTGAACCTCCTGTGCTTTAAGCCTGCAGCAGTGATCCATAGATGAAGAACAGGGGCATGTTATGTTGTCATCTTTTGCATGGCTGCTGTTTACCAACTCATATTTATCCTTTTCACTCACATTTGAACTGTTTCTTGCAGCTGAGTCTTTTCTGTCACTTTTTCTCCTGTTGTTAAATTGTTTTCATTTCTTCTCTTTGTGTCGGTCAAATAAAGTTTAACTTGTTTTTTTTCCCTTTGTTGGATTGCACATGCATTACTCATTAACAGATTTAACAGGACATCTGCAGGTTCGGAAACTTGCTGAGTGGTTAGCTTATTTTCTTTTTAATATTTCCTGTTTTCTGGTCTCAGGTCACAAAAATGAAGCTGAATAGGAACAAATGTCAAGTTTTTTTAAGCATAACCTAAAGATTAAAGTCCTCTATCAGTTGTCACACACACTGGTGTGTGGTGAAAGTTGTCCTCTGCATTCGACCCATCCCCGTGAGGAGCGGTGAGCTGCAGACACCGCCGCACTTCAAAACTATTAACTTAAATACATAAATTATCTGTCATTGTTGAGAAATTGGCTCTGAAAGACTGTGGGTTACATTTCATTATTAGTATTCAGTAATAGAAAATTGTGGTTGAACTTGCAGACTTCCTGGGGTTATACTACGAAGCAATTCCAACAGGTAGCTGAGTCTTCCTCCTGTAAGCTGAACATCTACTCTGATACTTGGTACCACAATAACTCTGACTGTCTCTTCAGACTGGGTATTCAGGCAAAATGGAGCATTCTTCAGATCATTTGTCTCTCCAGTTGGCAAAAACAAATCAACGTGACTGTAGAAAGCTTTGAAAGGCAGAAAAAACACACTAATCAACTCTTTATGTATAAGAATAACAGGCTGCATGGATTAGGAGCTGTGAAAATCCGAAAAAAAATTCAGTAAAGAAAAATGTTGCTTCATAAGGAAAAAGACATTTGTGAAGGGATATTTTGGCCCCCTTGAGGCTTGCTAAGTCATATCTTACCTGTTGTAGAAGGCTTTCTGAATGGCTTGAGTTTGGAAAAACAGAGTTTAGATCCTACAGGCTGGCCAGCTAACAGCAAAGACCAAAGCTGATTGTTTCCTTAAAATGGCTCAAATACCCAGGTTTTCACAGCGGTTCATACAAACGTTATTCAATTAACCTTAACAAGTAGAAATATTCTGAAAATCTGAGTTGACTCCTGGACGACTGTGTCACCAGGGTCCTGTTTGAGCAGTGAGGATATTTATGGTTGTAAGTAAATGTGAGACATTTTAGGAGGGTTTTGCTGCCAGATTACAAATAAAAATATCAATTGTAAATCAATCTTGACATAGTTAAGACACTTTGTGGCAAGAAAAGTTTACATAAATTTCTCAATTTGTTTGCAGTTAAGTCACATGACCAGTGATATATCCAACTTGCTTATTTTTATCAGTACTTTGTGCCATCAACAGTCCAGGGAGGTTCTGGTCTAGCTGTCAGATGCTGCTTCGTAGTACAGCCCTCTGTTTAAACACCTGTCTTCATTCAGCACCTAACCACCTGCTCTCCTCCTCCCAGCTGCGTAAAACAGGTCCGATTCGAGGCACCAGTGCTGCTCATGAGCAATGAGGCAAATCAACCAAACCCTGTTATGATGATGTCATCAGAGACCCTGCTGAGGAAGTGGCCCTGATGTCACCTCTTCTCGTCCTGTCTCACATGATTCATTGGGGGGTTTGACATGATTGGTTAACAGTACTGTACAGATCCTACTCCAATCAAGCCTCCTGTTCACTCTGTAAACACAAATAAACATAAAAAAACATGTTTTTGCATACGTATAGAAAAGAGAAAAAATGATTTGCACAGAACATAAATTGCCTGATATGTAATTGTTAGTTGATTATTATGATGGGCTTTGTTTTTTATCCAGGTGTCTAAACCATGACTCCGGAAGTCAAGCCTTTTAAATTTGAATGTTTTTAGCTTCATGGGTTCCCATAATGATTGGTTAATTCAAGCAAGTATTGGAACATTTTGTCCCCGCCCCATCTTGTAATATAACTAACTTAATCCTCGGCTCTCTCCACTTTGTTGTTTATATGTTTTGTCCTTGTGGACGTTTGTTTAAACCCCTCTCTGTCGTCTTGCTGTCTGGCATTTGGTTAGTAATACCCTTTTTGAATTTTGAGACAGTTTGATCATTTTTGGCTTTTCTCCCTCCACACATGCCTGCATTAAAAATGCCCTCCATCAGGGAGCGCATATGGTCAGCTGCAAGTCCTCACTTCACCGTCTCTGCATGTGTACAGTCGCTGCAGTGCAGCTTTGCTCAGATGGATCTTTTGTGTTGTTAGAGAGCTCGTGAGCGCCCTCTAGGAAGGCTTAGACAATTCACTTCAGTGTTACTGTGTGTTTGTGTGCTTTTGTGTTTTTCCAACTGCCTTCACTCAAAAGGCCTGTCACTGAGATGGATCACTTAAAATCCAGGCTCGACCAGCCTCGTGAACTTTGCCTCACGCTGTTGCTGTATGGCCTTTGTCCTTGACTAGGGCTAAATTAAACCACAAAAAACAACACACACAACGGAGAGTGAGTGTGTGCATTGCTGCATGCAGAATTTATTTGCAGATGTTATCATCTGACAGAAATGGGTCCATGCAGAGCTGCCGTTTGTTGAAAAAAATATATATGTGTGTGTATCATATTATATATATATATATATATATATATATATATATATATATAGTAACAAAGTCTGGTGATCTAAAGGGAGTTGGCTTTGTCATCCTGCTCACTTTCATGGCTACATATATTTAAGATTTTGCCATCTAGAAAAATGGTTTAGGTGTGTTCATTTTGAACTTGGTGTGTGAATGTTGCTTTTCTCTGGGTGACATGTGCAGCGTTCAGGGTGGTGTCAGGTATGAGTTGTCAGAACGTGTTTCTACGTGGTTGTTGAAGTAACCTAACGAGCTATACCGTAATGGTACTTTTAAATAGATCCATTGAAAACATGGACAAACTGTACATAGACACATGACTGGGATTGTCACAGCTACTAACATCATCAGGTTTATCATTCAATATTGCACTGCTATTGTAAGGAGGCTGTGTTGTTAGGTCAGGTTATGTCAGTTCTATCACGGCTAGTGTGTGTGTGAGTGTGAGAGAGTAAAGTGGAGCCAACTGTACCTCATCCATGCTTATGATTGTGCAGCTACACAGACAAAAGAGTAGATTGGGCAGGTTGTTTCTGAACGCTGGCATATTTCACATTTGTACACGCATGACAGGAACCCAATACAACACCAGTTCATGACGACATACGGATTTACTAAAACAACTAGATTTGCATGCACAATTTAATTACATTTTTTTTATTGTTTCCTTTCTTTGTGTTTGAGCAGCACTTTTAAAAAATAACTGCATCAGACACAGAGGACAGTGTAAGGGGAGTCTTCCCTTCACAATCAGACTGTCTTCTGCTGGACCTCAGATTAAGAGACAAGAAGGGAACAGTCTGATGCTGACGGGAGCTGCCCGCCCTGTGCTGTATGACATGCTGTGTGTTGCGCAGTTTGATAGCGGCACCAGTGATGTAAGCCAGTTCATACTGTAAATGGAGGGCTTTGAGTGTAGGAAAAAGATGGAGTCTAAAATATAGAATGGAGTATTCTATTGTGATCACAAATAAGCGCTTGCAAAATCTACTGTTTCTTTTATGTTTTCTTTTATTTTTTGTTTGTGAAAGACAAAGCTTCTGTGTATTCAATTTTCTCTTTCTGATAAGGTAAAATTCAGGGGAATTAGTTGTGAATGTAATAAAATTAGTACCTTTTTTCTTTTTCACAGCTTTCATGCTGTGACAGAAGGTCTAGACAACGGAGCATAACAGAATATCTAATAAATTTGAACAAATAAAAGAATGTGTGCTTGAGTTCTTAATGCATTGCCTTTCATTGTGTGTTCTTTTCATTTATTTGATTTAAAACATACTCTGGACTCTAATAAACAGGTATTTTGATAGATACAATGGGATGCAAAAGTTTGGGCAACCTTGTTAATTCCATTTCATTTATAAAGCACATTTCTACACGGCCAATGGCAACCAAAGAGCTTCACAGGAAAGGGCATAAAAATCAACACGGGAAGAAAGTAATAAAAGTAGTACAGTAACTACTATCAAATCAACAATAAAAATAAAACAGAGACATAGTACAATGCTAACTAGGCTGAAGTAAAAGCCAAGGAATAAAAAACCGTCTGGCATGATTTAAAATCAGAGAGACGGGGCCATTCTCACTGCTAGAGGGAGTTGATTCCAGAGACGAGGCGCACAGAATGAGAATGCTCGTTCTCCTCGAGTCTTCACCCGAACACTTGGGACCTGTAACAGGCGGTGGTCTTCTGAAGAATTTGACCAGGTATGTAGGACTGAACCAGCTTTGCGGTCAGGAGATCCCTTTGATCTGCTCAGAAGTAACTGATGAGGTGAAAAAGTAAGAATCCAGGCAGCAGTTTTTCTGGAGAGTTTAGAGGAGATGCAGGAAGATGAGAGACAGACAGGACAGGAAATAGTTCAATAAAAACAAGAAAACACAACAAAGTGTTGAAAAGTAAAATGTCCACTACACGTTTTATAAAACAATAAGTTACACACATGTAATAATTATACATCTGATACAATTCAGATCACCTTCAAAACTGTCACACACCCAGGGCCGTTTCAAGACATTTTGGGGGCCAAGGCAAAATGACCCCCCCCCCCCCCCACACACACACACACACACACACAACTTTTTGGAAAATAATAAGCAGCTTGTGCATACAAGAGAATTAAAGGCGAAGCGCTTGCCCATACCGTGTTATTGTGTTGTTTTTTCTATATGTGTGTGTGTGTGTGGGGGGGGGGGGGGGGGGGGCACCACAAAGCCTTTGTGCTTAGGGCACCAAAATAGCTAGCAACAGCCCTGGCTGCGTGTTTCCGTTCTTTCATAATCCGTTGTCGAATTGTGATCGGCAGACGCTTTTCCGGTTCGCGCCTCACTTTCTTTACAGTAACGGCCCAAAACGATCTCCAAACACATGGAGGTGTTGCTTCCTGATCATGTGATCTGTGACGTATGCGGATGAAGATCAGCTTCACGGCTGAGATGTTTGTTCTCTCAGCGCGGCGGGTCGTTCCGATGCTCAAACAGTAAAAAAATGCAAATGCAGTGAACGGTTGGATCTAAAATGACGACTTTAGTCGTCAATGGCAGTGAATGAGTTAAGCTGCAAAGCATCAAGGGAGTTGTAGTATTTGCGGTAAAATCAGCCAGCAGGTCCGTTTTTATATATTTTTTATATTTATCTTGCGGGCCACATAAAAATGCTCCGTAGGCCTTGTGTCTGACACATGTGGTTTAGGGGAAGGATACAAAAAGCTGTCTTAGGAATTTCAGCGGTCTGTTTCCACAGTTAGGAACATATTGAAGAACAACGTTCAACTATTAGGCGCACTCTACACAAGGAAATGCTGTATGTGACAGTGATACAGAGAAAGCATTTTCTCCGCCCACACCACAAACAGCCACTTGAGGTTTGCTAAAGCACATTTGGACAAGCCAGCTTCATTTTGGAATAAGGTGCTTTGGACTGATGAAACTGAAATTGAGTTATTTGGGCATAACAAGGGTTGTTATTCATGGAGGGAAAAGAACACAGCACTCCAAGAAAAACACCTACTACCTACAGTAAACATGGTGGTGGTTCCATCATGCTGTGGGGCTGTGTGGCCAGTGCAGGGACTGGGAATCTTGTTAAAGTTGAGGGACACATCGATTCCACTCAATATCATCAGATTCTGGAGACGAAAGTCCAGGAATCAGTGACAAAGCTGAAGCTGCTTCGGGGCTGGATCTTTCAACAAGACAAGGACCCTAAACACTGCTCAACATCTACTATTTAGAGGAATTTGTAGAACATTCTGGAATGGAATATTATGAAATAAAAACAATTTTATTATGGAAGCTGTCTCAATATTGGTTAAAATTGTTTAGAAAAATCAAATAATTTATAAAGTGCATTAATCCAGCTGAAATTAAATTGACACATGAAACTGCTGCAGTCCCAAAAATTCATCCAGAGAAATGAACTGTAATAATGACTCAAACTGGTTTATTTAGCATTTATTGAGATGAGAATATTAAAAAACTAGATGAATTGCATGTTTTTGCACAAATGATGTTTGAATGCTGACCCCTGAAAAAAACTTGCTGGAAACTGCTAAAGCTGAGCTTTGACTAGCTGAAATAATTTAATGGTTCTGAGTTTAAACAGAGAATAATTTGAAGCATTGGCATTGCCCAAAATAGGTCCTGAAATCGCAAAACAATATTTCAAGCAATATTTTTCCGCACACAGCTTTCACCATTTTATATATACAAGCATGAAAGTGCTTTGGATTTACTCTCCATGTTTTCACTCTTTGACAGTAATGAGCTTCCATACATTTTGATAGTAATGAGCTTCCATACATTTTGATAGTAATGAGCTTCCATACAACATAGTATTGTGCCTTCAGCAGAAAAAAAAAATCCTTTAATCGCGCTCGATGCGGCTCGAAGTGCGCATGCGTGAACCTTTAACCAGCAGGTAAACTCCACCATGGCGGCCAGAGGCCATGTGCAAGATCCCAACGACAGGCGACTCAGACCTATATACGGTAGGTTTTCAATGGGAACATACGCATTTATACATGTCTCAAGGTAAAAAAAAATGCCGAGTGTTTGTATGGAGATGTGTGTTTAATCTGGGAGTATATAAGAGTTACGAGGCAGCTATGCGGCCCCCAGCCGCGGACTCTGCTGCTTGCAGCGCCCAATGATGAAGCACCTTACCCGGCATGATAGAAAGCCGGTAAAAGAAATTGCCACCTCAGCTGTTATCGCGACGAAATTGTGCGTTTACGCGTTAAAGGTAGACGTATTTGTGGTGGTATTGGATCTGTTGGAGATTAAGGAAGTTTTGTCATCGGACCAGCTCCTTCTCAAAGTCGATGTTTCCCCTTAGCTAACGGTCGCAAGTTGACAGCTAGCTCAGCTGGCTAATATGTCAACTAGCCAGCCTGTCAACCTGTGGACACGCTGTTGCTGAATATAACGAAACGTTTTAACGTGTGGATGATTGTTTGTCTCGGTTTAGTGTCACAGCTTCCAGTTTGCAGCCGGAGATACTTTGTAGGTAGTTGAGTGTAACATGTTAGCTTACAGTTAGCACAAGGACAATACTGCTAGCTGGTTAAAGCTGTCACAGCTCCGCTTGAACCGCCTAGCAACGCTTATTACGGCGTCTTGCATGTGTCTTTGTCCATAGATGTACTGAAAACTCTCCGTGTGTTGTAGTTTCAGTTAGCTTTAATGATATTGAGCAGAAAGTTCAAGTAAAACAGTATCTACCATTTCACCAAAGAGCAAAGAAGTTTCAGGTAAATGCAAACGTGAAACAGACTGTGACATCTGAAGACATTTGAACCTGTCTGCGTGGTAATAATAAATGTGTCTGACCAGTCCTTTAGCATTTTAATGCTGCTGATTTTAACCGTTTAGGACCTGGCTCTCTGAGGTTTTGACAGCTGGGATGGCAGAGAGAATAGACATGACATAATCACAACATACTGTCTGACACAGTTAATTTTGGCACCCAGCTGTCCTGAAGAGACTCCACTGTTCCAGTGTATGGGAATGTGTGTGCATGGGCATAAAACATTCATACGATTATACGGTTACAGCTGAAGTAGTATGTAATGCAAGTTCATGTTAGTTAATTATTTATTGGATAAACTAGTACAAAGAAGAAGTAAATACATACAAATAAGATATAATAACTAAGCTTCAATTATCTGCTTGTCTGTATATTGATTTTCTTTGTCATTACTGCCTCAGTCGTCTAGTTATTGGCTGGAGACAGATGCAGAAGTGCTTATATGAATTCTTTCTTTCTGTGGTAATTTGTAATCGATAACTTGTGTTATTTTACCAAACGTGTTGGTTAACTTTTACCAGCCAGATGTGTGCACAATGAATTTCATTTATTTTACTTCTAATAATGTTTGACTTACAAATAAAACTACATCATTAAAACAAAAAACATCAGCATTTTGTTATGCTTTGTTTCGTCAGTGTCTCAAGTGTGCCTATCATAGAAATAACAGACATCTAATAAAGAGTAGCAAACACACTTTTTACATCTACTTAGCGTAGGGTGCTCTATAAAGGTTTTTAAAAAGTACCATGGTAATGTTTTGTTTTTTTTGTGATTAACCATTTTCATTGTTTAGTGTCTGTTCTAAAATTAATAAAAATATCAGATTGTGATATCATTGCTTGTTTTTTCTTTTCAGACTACCTTGATAATGGCAACAATAAAATGGCAATTCAGCAGGCAGATAAGCTGCTGAAGAAACACAAGGACCTGCACTGTGCCAAGGTGGGCGAATACAGAGCTTTGAGGTCTCTCTTTCCTATTTTAAAGGCCAGGGGTCTCATTTATCAAACATTTCGTAGAATCCTTACTAAAACCGTACTTAAGCTCAGCAAAAAAAAAAGTACTTATGCCAAGCAGGTTTGTGATCTATCAAACATGGAGTACGCACAGCTGCACGCAATCTCCGCTTCATAAATAAGAAACTATCTAGAAAGTTTCTCAGCTACTTTTTAGTCACATCCCGCTCTCAACACACCCACTTACTGCCATAAATAGTCAATGCAAAGTGCCTCGTGGATCTCATGCATATACATAAGCTGGCTTGTTGCAGCATTTCGATCACGACCGCAGATCAAGGAAGCGCAATTTCACAAGCAGAAATTGAGGTACTTGTGGGTGAGGTGGAGAAATGAAAGGAAGTGCTTTTGCAAAACAAATGAGAGAAAATCCACGGAGTGGCACAGCGTTGCTGAAGCCGTCAATGCTGAGTTCTTCAGAGAGATCTGTGGTGGATATAAAAAAATGATCCGATCAGGATTTGAACCCCAGACTCCCAGGTGAAAGTCATGCGCTCTAACCAGTCAGCCAAATGGAGATCTCCCTTGTCCAAGTAGGCAGGGCGGATGATTAATCGGGCCACAGTGACAGGACACACACACTGTCACAGACGCATGACATTCTGTCTCAATCTGTCCCCCTGATGATATTCTGCGTTCCGTATTCTGCACTTCAGGCTGTGTATGTGTGTGCGTGTGGGGGGGGTCTTGTTCTGTGTGAAAACGAAGCAGTACAAGCAATAATGCTGCAGGATTTCATCATTTTATCCTTCTCAGCAGCAGCACTGCAGGTGTTCTCCATGTCCAAAATCTGTGTAAGCCAGGTCCTTAGTCAACTTAAAGTTGCACACAATTTTCCGCTACATTTTCTTTCATAAATCCCAAAGTTTGCGTGTTCCCTGTAGTGATTACCCAGTAAAACCAAAGGGTGGGAATCTTAAGGTTCCTCTCAATTCAGTTCATTTGAATTTAGAGGATAGTAATGCAATTATAAAACAACCATCACTCAACCCCCCTCACTTCCTCCACATCTGTTTGGCACTTTCAAAGCAAAGTTTTAACAAAATGAGTTTACTTCCAATAACATAATATTAAAGCTACAATAGCAAATCTCAAAAACAAGCTGGCTTTAAACTTTTTTTTATGCCTCTTAACAATGTTCTCACACAGTAAAGCTATAAATATTTTTGGGAGATTAAAGAAAAATAATGAAGTTGTTCTTTTGCATTTGTCTAAAACCCTCAATTATTAACACGTTTTGAACCGAACGCAACTATTGGGCCATCCAGTTCACATTTCACCAAACCACCTCACTGGGTCATCCATTCATTACACACACACACGTATTTAGCAGCAGAACACCACCAGTGTGAGAGGTTCTCCGCTCAATATTATCAGAGAAGGAGAAACAGTCAGCTGCTACCACTTCTACTTTAAGACAAACTACCAGAATCCCAAAAAGAAAAACACCATTTTGAAGTCACGAACAACAAAAGATATTTAACCTTGAAAATGGCGATTGGTGTTTAGAGCTCTTTTGTTTCCTCTGGCAATGTGGGTTTCTGGTACCTGCGGACAAGGCCTAGGGCCTAGGGCCTAGGGACAAACTTCTAATCACAACATTACATTACACAGGCATGGGGAGTGTCCCATGACCGTGTTTGTGTTTAAAAGCTAGCTTGTTGCTTTTGCAGCTTTAATAAAACAAACAATAAATGGCTTTCATTTTAAAATGCTTTTTGTGGTACTGAAAACACAGCTTTCATACAAAAATGCCAGTGTACTTAATCTTACTTTGAATAATGTGAACAACTGTCCTAATTTTGAAAACAAGGAAGAGTCTAACTGAACACTTCCTCCTTTATTCCTCCTGTGGTAAAAATACCACAGGAGGAATAAAGCCAAATGAATAGGTTGTGGGTTCTGTACCAAAAGTAGAAATTCACTATTGGTCCCAAAGAAGTAGCTTTATTCACTATTTTCATTTTACTCAACAATCGTTCACTACAGCAGAGTGAAGGGTTGGGATTAGCTACAGCTACAGTAAAAGTAAAGCTACTTTCTACAGACTGACTCTTGTTTAGGTTGTTCGTAGCGCTGCCACGATTAGTCGATTTGTCACTACGATGTTGACAAACTAAGTATTCAACTATAAATTTATAATCAATGTTGTTTATTCTATGAGTATTTTTTTATCTCACCTGCTGCGGCACCTTCGACTGCTCCTTTCTGCTCGAGGCACATGCACAGTGTTGACCATCCAGACCAGTGCGGTGCACGAGAAGCATGTTATGGTGGAGTACGAAGAGTCGCCTCTGTAAATGAATTCTCTTGTTAGCTGCCAACATCAACAGTTACTTGAATTCATAGGTGTAGCAACAGCAGTAGTGGTGGTGATTTTATTACCTTACATACGTGTGTCACGTATGTGCTGTAATGTTGCATAATAAATGTTACAAACGTTAATGATTTATTTTGTTGCACTGTGTTGATGTTAACAAAAAAAAGCGCTCTTCCTCTTCAATGGATGAGTTTGTTACAAAGCCAAAAATGACTATTTTAACAGGCAGGATACATTTGTAAGCACACGGCATTTTTGTACAATTTCTTTTTGGTTTTAGGTGCCTGCCTCATCTGACTGTAGCATTTGTATTAACGGGTTACAAAATTAATTAAAAGTTGTTTGATAAGCTCTCATCTTGTCTTTATTATTAGACGCCACACAACTGATCATACAAACTAGAAGCCAATGATGGGGATATTAGAGCATCCTGTTGCAACAAGCTAAACTTTTATGAATGCCACGATTAGTCGACTAATCAACAAAACTGGCGATTAGTCGACTATTAAAATAGTCATTTGTGGCTGCCCCAGGTTGTTAGAATCCTGTATAGGATTAAAAACGCTTGTTTATGAGATACTGTCAAACTGATAAACACTTCAGACTGACTTTCAGCGAGAAGATGGTGACTTTTTGTAAAGTTTTTGAGTTTTCTTACTTCCATTTATTAAATTCTTGGACCAATCAGTGTGCTCCACTCTTCAATACACATTTTGTAAAGACATTCGAGTTACACAGAGACTAACCATTGCTGTAGTCTTGGACTGACTGATCTGTGTGTTTGAGCGTTAAAATGACTTGAGTCGCCAGACCGAAGCAGCCGAGAGGAGAGATCTCCTGCAGAGGTGGAACGCTTTTTAACACAACACCAGTCTCACTCAATGTGATCATGTATTGTACAATTGTGAAAGGTATGTTGTTGGAACAATAAAGTTATGATGTTATAATGTGATATTGTTTTACGTGGATGGCAGCTCAACGCTTCCATAATCAATATGCTTCATTATTATCCAGCCTTGTAATGCATATAAGAATCAGAGGACTAATACCATTGACATCACTAAACACTTGATTTTTGATTTAATTGAGATTATTCTGACCACAAAATTACTAAGTGTCTTAAAAGATACTTTGAAATATTTGAAGTTATTGACAATAGATAAATAAAAACCAACAGAGGTCAAATTAATGAAATCCTTAATATAACTTAAATCCTTTGAAATAAAAACAGCACTTTGGAGTTTAAGAGTTAAATAATTATTAGCACTGTTATCAGTAATGTAGTTAATATAAAATACATTTAGAGATTATACATTTCCTGACACAGCTGCATGCAGTAATAAGAAATTATGATTGTACTCACAGACAACTCACTGTTTTCATCTGGACCTCCTGAGTCCTGTCATCATGTGCGTGTGTTTTTGTCTGTTCTGTCAGGTCTTAAAGGCCATTGGCCTTCAGAGGACGGGGAAGCAGGATGAAGCTTTTGCTTTGGCCCATGAGGTGGCCATGCTAGAGCCCACTGATGACAACTCGCTTCAGGCTCTGACTATCCTGTACAGAGAGATGCATCGACGTAAGTACAACCCCCCCCCCCCCACACACACACACACACACACACACACACACACAGCAGCAGTTACCCCTGATGTTACCGCACGGTAAATGTTGCACCGGTCCTGTCCAACAGCGGAGCTGGTCACTAAGCTGTATGAGGCTGCGGTGAAGAAGGTTCCTCTCAGTGAGGAGTATCACTCACACCTCTTCATGGCCTACGCTCGCGTGGGAGAGTACAAGAAGATGCAGCAGGTGTGAAAACACAACAAACAGCTGGTTTTGTGATCTCTTGATGATCAGTTAAATGGATCAGTGTCAAAGAGGATGTGACTGAGTATCTCCACACTTCACAGGCGGGAATGGCCTTGTATAAAATTGTTCCTAAGAATCCGTATTACTTCTGGTCCGTCATGAGTCTCGTCATGCAGGTAGGATGGGGCTTGGGCTTTTCCTAAAATGTGCAAACTTTAAGAACAAATTGAATTTGTGTTTTTTGTTTGTGTGTGCGTGTGTGTGTGTGTGTGTGTGTGTGTGTGTGCGAAGGCAATCTCAGCTAAAGATGAGAAACTGGCTCAAACAATGTTCCTGCCTCTGGCTGAACGAATGGTGGAGAAAATGGTGAAGGAGGACAAGATTGAGGCGGAAGCAGAGGTGGGTTTGTCATTTGTCAGAGTGAAATAGTGAAGCTGATCTAGCTTTAGCAGCTTTAGAATTCAGTTTTAGCTGTTTTGTTTTGAAGGTGGGGATGGTGCTGTTTCCAGGTTGGAATGTTTCCTGAAGAGAATTTTTTTTCTGATCTTTTGAAGACATTTTTGCATGCGACTCTGCAAGAGAGTAGATAGAAAATGTAACTATGTAAGTCTGTATTTACCAAAACATGTCGTAAGCAAACAGTTTAGTCAGACTCCTGTAATCCTTCCACCTATTCTTACAGTCAGTTCCAAGTTGTAAGAGATGCCAGTAAAACCTTTAATTGTATACTATTTATTATTGCAGCTGAAATAAAAATTATTTACTGAATTAATAAACTCATTTTAGTATTCTTGTTCCATGTATTTATGCCATAGGCGAGTTTAGGTATTCATGAAGTAAATATGTATTTAAACAGCATTTCAAACTCTGCATTTGTTCAATATTTCTATTTTGTTGCACTTTTTTTCTGCTCACCAAATGTTGCTTTAGACCTTGATGAGGGCTGCTGAGGATCAGGATCAGGCTGCTGTTGAATTATTTGTCCATTTCAGCTTGGCCCACATTTCCTTTGTGCTCAGTCAATCCTGAAATCCTCAGAAGCAGACAGATGAAGTAAAGCTGCAGCTTCCCTCGCATCTCTTAAAAATGCAAAATTAGCATAAAAGCTTTAAAACACATTTTATAATCAGCTTGTTGATCATATGAGCTCATTTTCATGCTGGGTTTTGTTTTTTTAGAGAGTATCTCCTCACGCTAAACAAATCTGAACTAAATTACTCCTTTAGCCAACCTCTTGTTAAAACACATACATAACTTTATGTTGAATGAAGTTTTGAATCGTTTTCTGGATGTGTGTAGGTGCAGCTTTATTTTATGATCCTGGAGCGGCTGGGGAAGTACGTAGAAGCCCTGGAGGTGATCAGGGGTCCACTTGGAGGTAAGTGGATGTGCATACCTCACTTCCTGTTTGTTAAAGTTAAAGTCCCATTAGTTGTCACACACACAGGTGTGTGTGTGCGAAATTTGTTCTCCGCATTTGACCCATCCCCTGGGGGAGCGGTGAGCTGCAGACACAGCCGCGCTCGGGAACCATTTGGTGGTTTAACCCCCCAATCCATCCCTTAATGCTGAGTGTCAAGCAGGGAGGCATTGGGTCCCATTTTTTCAAAGTCTTTGGTATGACCCGACCAGGAATCGAACCCCTGATCTCCCAGTCTCAGGGCGGACACTCTACCACTAGGCCACTGAGCTGGTGTTATGATGTTCCTCATATGGGATCTGCTTGATTGTTCTTGACATTAATAGCTGTAGTTATTTGCCTTCTCCCTGTGCTCTGGTGTGTTTCCACAGAGAAGCTGACCAGTGAGCTGCAGAGCAGAGAAAGCAAGTGTATGATGCTCTACCGGCGACTCGAACGCTGGCCGGAGTGTAACGCTCTGGCTCACAAGCTGCTCCTCAAAAAGTGAGTGTGAGCTTACGGTTTATCAGCCAGGGCAGGTGTTTGTCAGTCAGTTCAACATCTGGTTGTAGCATCAGCAACCAGATGTTAAATGATCTCAAGGATGTTTAAAGATAAGTTTAACCTTTAAATTGATAGAAATTAGGATTTTAGTTTAAATGGGATGTTATAGCTTACAGGTGATGAGTTATAACTAAAACAGCAGAGGATAAGGGTAAGACAGAATGTCCTGAACTATTTATGAATTAAGATTATTGTTGGACTGTAGCAGTTATCTGTTTCTATGACGTATTAAACATATTTCTGCAAATGCTTTGACTTCTAGTTAATGCTGTTCCTGTCTTACTGATATGCGTTTCTCACAAACTGTTAATAATGAAACAAAAGCCCAGCAGCGTTGTGAACCTAACCACCACTCGTCCTTGTTGGAGGACGCTGAACACAAGCTCTCTAGCTTGGCTGTAAACGAGCCACCATTCCCACTCTGATGCCTCGGGCTGCAGCTAAGACATCAATAACGAATGGTGTTTTGTGCTTGTAGTCCTGACGACTGGCAGTTCTACCCCTATTACTTTGACTCGCTCTTCCATCTGATGGATCAGTCATGGAGCCCGCCAGAAGGAGAGCCGTGAGTAGAAATCTTTGATTTGAAAAGACGTGTTTGTGTTTTGTTACAGCAGGACACAATGGGCCATTCTTCTGAGAGATGAGTGTTATCTGTGTGTGTGTCTCCAGCTGCTCAGAGGGTGCGGTACACCACACTGTGGCTGAGGTGGTGAGGTTTGTGGAGGAGAGAATCAAGGAGCAAGACGGCAAAGAGTCCCGCTCCCTCAGAGGGCCTTATTTAGCTCAACTGGAACTAATACACAGACTGAGAGAACGAGGCTTCCCTGAAGAAAACCTGCCAGGTAACAAACTCATCTTGTTGTTATGATCACCTGTTTCTCTTTGTTTGTGTGTGACAGTCTGCTGTTTGGTTTTCAACAGGTGAGCCTTTAGATCTGATGGTCCAGTTCTTTGTAAAGTTTGGAGACAAACCCTGCTGTATCACCGACCTGAAGATCTACCTTCATCTGCTCTCTCCAGACCAGCATGTTCAGGTAGGACCAGCTCTGCAGATGCTTCCTGTCAAGCATTTTTAAAACTCACATCTCTGTCATCACCTCTTTAGTTCATCAACCGTCTGAGTGAAGCCGTGCCCCTGGGGCAGCAGGGAGTCGAGGGCTTTGCCTTCCCACAGGACACCAAGGCCTTGCAGAGGCACCTGTGTGTTTGTCAGCTGAGTCGAGCTCTTGGCCTGCATCACTCTCTCGATGTCAGCGGGAAACTGCGCCTCATCGTGGAGCTCAAGGCTCACTATCGTCATGGTCTGAAGTTTGGTAAAACAGTCACTTTAATTTGTTCTTAACCTGATCTCTGAGGAGGGAAGTCTGTAGAGACTCGCCCAAACTGCACATCATTGGTCACATCATGAGAACCAGTTCAGTGAATGCAAACACTAATAAAGACATAATGAACATCACAGCAGGAAGCTAAAGCCTCTTTTAGAAAATAATGCTACCATTTTACCACAAGGCCATGGCGGCATCAGGGAGCCTTAGGTTGTTTATAAGTGCTCAGACCATCGTGGTAATGTGGTGCAATCATGTCCTTTTTACAAAAGACTACCCAATGGTGGTATAAAGGGGGTTTGGGGGCGGTCTCTGCGCTGTCACAGACTTCTGTTTAACTTGGACATAACTTGTTTTTTATTGCGACTGAAATCGCGCTCATTAAGTGTTTTTAACAAGTCGCTTCTAAAGGTGTCTGTTCTCTACAGATCAAAAACTGTAGCACAGCCAAGTCTTTCAGCACTGTTCAAAATATTGTTCAAGATTATCTTCTCCCAGCAAAGCTTAACTTCTTTATAATGGTGGCTACAGAAGTTGCACCATTTCTGCAGTTGTACCAGACTGACAAACCCATGCTACCATGAATGAGCAGGACCTACAAACCAAAGACCAGGAGTCTGATGGAAAAACGTATCAAAGCTGATGTCATGAAAACACAACAACCACAGTGAAGCTCTTGCAAGTGGACTTTGCTGATACAACCACATTGATGTCACTAAACTGAAAGTGGGATTTGTCACAGAGCGGGCCCTGGAGGAGCACATGAGGAAGAACCCAGATGCTGAGAGACTGAGGCTGGCGTTCAGGCAGCACTGAAAGCAGTTTTTATTGAAAATTGTGTCCAAGCTTTTTGAAAGTATCCTCGTGAGAAATTTTTCTGTGACTTGATCCAAGAGTGCTTCTTGAAAGCAAAGAAGTGTGCACCTAGAAATCACTTCTGTTTTGCATCTCTTGGTGGAAACCGGTAGAGTTGAAGAAAAAGGCTGAGATGAGATTCTGAGGGAGTTTGGCAACTTCTTTGACCTCAATTAGATGTCAGCATCCCATTCTTCCAGCAGCTACTGCTCAGAAAAGGATGGATTGGATGAATTCTATTATGGGTGTTTATCCAACAGAACGGAGTGCCATCATCTGTTGGGAGGTAGTAAAACTTGTCCTGATCCTGTCACATGGTCAAGCCTCTGTCTAGAGGTTTGTGGGTCAACAAGGAGGTAATGGTGGAAAATCTCATAGCGCATTCATTGATTGCTCAGCGTGTTATACACGGCCAAGTGCAAATTGTTGCAGGGCTTCTTGATTAATGTTGCTTACAGAAAGGAGTTCCTCCTTTCCCCAGTGTCTGGTAGGCAGAAGTATCACATGCACCTTGACCAAAAAATGCCTGAAGCAGGATGAGCAAAAGGCACAGAAAAGGTACGGACTACTAGGTGAGATATCAGAACTTAAAGCCAAAAACAAGAGAATGGAAGAGGACATAAGTGTGCTTTGAGGTCAGCTGATCACAGTGCAGAAAAAGCTGAGTCACAAGGAAAGCTCAGTTTCAACTCTTAAGTCCAACAGCCTTCTAAGAGCTGCAAAAGAAAAGGAAAGACACCTGCAAATCTCAGAGAAACAGCTGGGTGAAAAAGTAAACGAGCGAAGAGACACACTAGGTTTATCCATTCTGGCCTAAACTTGGATGAGTCATTTTTGGTCTTTGCACTATTTTCCACTCAAGCATTTCAAGGCCCGTTGCTGCCAAATCCTAATGGAGATAATGGATTTGAATGTTTTTGGATGTAAAACTTGAAGTTCTTGTTTTACATTTAGAGCAAGCAATACAAATGTTAGTTGCACTGTTTTATTTTGTCTAATGACGTGCAATTTAAGTATTTTGTAGAAAAGTCTACAGAGTTATTTATATTGTGTTGAAAATATAAAGTTAATGAAGCTGATATTTTGTTAAGGACTGTTTTGTTATCAGACCATGAGCGTATATAGAGTGCGAGTGTGCATGAATTCAAAACTAAGGTTTTTTTTCTGTTTTATTTGGTTAACCCTTGCTTTGTAGAGTTCTATTACAACACATAATTAACAACAGCAATCGTTTCATATGATGATGAAAACCTTCATCTTGAGTTCATACGTATTTTATCTCTAAAATATGGTGTTGGAAAAGTCACCAAGAGAATAATTGCAAAGTGCTTGAATTTTATTGTGGGAAAAGTGTCAGAACCCAGAATTTTTAGCCCGTTTGTTTTTGTTTTAATCACGTTTAGTGTACTTCTCATCAGAAAGTATTTCCAGCCTGTGTGTTTGAAGCCATTGAACGATCTGTTCAAACCGAATCTTATGTTCAGTGTCTCTTTTCGGTTTTAATTTTGAACAAGTCTACTTGGACAAAAGCAGAATCAAGTCCTTGCTCATACTTAAGTTGATATAAAGTCACCTGCAAAGCTGCTTCTGAAATCTAAAGCCATCAGTTTTATTCAGATGGTCATTACTTTTGTTTTCTTGTGTTCTCACTGGGACCTCTGGTTGAATTTACATTTTCACTAGTCTCCTGTTACAACAACCTCTTTGATTTAGTCTGACTGATTAACGTCTGTTTGGCAGGTAACGATGCCCTGAAGACGGAGCTGCAGTTCTCCGACATGTACTGCCTCATGGCAGCTCATGTATACATCGACTTGTGGACTGAGACAGGTTAGATTCTCTCCTAGTGCAAACAGGCCACGCTCAAGCAGAAATGTGTAACCGTGTGTGTGTGTGTGTGTGTAGGTGATATGGACATGGTGTGGCAGTGTTTAGGGTTCCTGCTGGAGGGTCTGGCTAACAGTTCATCCAATGCCCAGTTCAAGCTGCTGCTGCTGCTTCTCTACTGTCGTCTGGGAGCCTTTGAGCCTGTGGTGGACCTTTACTCCAGTTTGGATGCAAAGCACATACAGCATGACACCATAGGGTCAGTCAGTTTTTGATCACGTCTGTGTGTTGGTTTATAAAATGTTTTCAGATTACTGGTGCAATGCACTTGTATGATTTGTTTTGGTCTGTTTAACCCTAAAAGGTGTTATCATGATTGCTGCAGCTAAAGAGGAGTTGAACTTTCCATCTTTTATTTTAATGAACAAAGTCCTGGATTTGGTGAGAAAAGTAAAATTTTTGGGGCCCTTGATGATGAGGATGTAAAGAGACCGTGCTGTGAGCTGTGAATGCAGGCTAACACTCAAGATCCGTAACTGTGGCATGTGCTCAGACGATGTTTAAGTGACCCTCTTTCATTCCTTTTGTACTCTTCTGTACAGCTGCAGTTCTAGTAAGGCTGTCATGAAGAAACTACAAGCTGCTGATCGGGCGGGGGGGGGGGGGGGGTTCCTCTGCAGGCTGCAAAGTAGAAGTGACCGACAGACAGGTGGTATGATCGGCTCTGAAAAGCATTGATCAGAATTTGCAGATGACGTTTTTTTCACGGAGATCAGTTGCAGATTCTTCTTCTGGTCAACGGACTGGAAATCTAACCCTTTGATGCATGAATTATTAAATCTTCAACCATGATTTTTTAAACAATTTTTTCATTGGTCTTTGGGTGTGAATGAAACAAATTTCAACAAATATTTTTTGTAAAATTTTATAATTTACAAATAATTTATTACATGTCCATGTCAGTGGACAGCATGCATTCTGAACATCAAATATGTTGGCTTGGCTTACTGAAGTCCAAATGGAGGGGCTCAAATGCAAAAAAGTCTTCAACAGCTGTGCTAAATAGCAAAAATAAATAAATAACAATTTTGAGTACCTGTCCACTGTAGTGACCATTATGCATCAAAGGGCTAATATTAAAAAATTTTTACGATTCCGGGAAAAACTTACGGTCCCGGTTTCAATTGATGCTTGATGGCCAACCCAGGAACAAATCTTACTGGTGAGCTTATACTTGGCAAACTCCAAAATGACTATGTTTTTCTATGCAAGGCTTTGCATCAGTTCACGTTATTTCCTTTAAAGCCATACTAACTTTTTACGTGCTTTAAACCCCCCGCAGTGTTTTAATTCACTGTCGTAAAAGTTAACAGTTATCCTCTCCTCTTTGCTGTGCTGAAATGTCTCCTCAGCCTACGTTAGTTTCTACAGGAGCGGTTAATCACTAAATCAAACAAATCAGCTGTGTTCATGATCTAAAACATGCAGGAAACATGCTGGAAGCAGACTGCAGCGCTAGCATGTTGGCTAGCCACTTTACTATCGACTAACAGGGTTCCTGGAAAATCTGAGCAACACTGTGAAGAAGAGAGGAGAAATCGTGCGACAACAGGGAATGGCTGTAGTGCATCGGTAAACTCGAACACGAGTGCTGGGTGATAACGGCAAGGTGGTACTTCAGAAGCTACGAGCGGCTCACCTACAGGACTGGCCAGCTGCCAGTGGGAATAGCTTCAGAGAGGCTGGAAACAAGGGTGGTGATGAGTGTGGAGACTAATAAACGAGGAATCTGTGTGTGAGGACACGAGGAACTTGGGTAGTGACGAGAAAAAGTCATCGACCGAGTGTTTGACATGTGAGAGGAGAGTGGGACGTGATCACTACTGCCCCACAAACATATTTTAAAACAATTACAAACACATTAAAGTTGTACGTACAAGTTCAACACCACAATGGTGAAGTCTTCATCCAGTTTGAATCCTTATTCGTCTCAAATATCTCGTAATTCAGAATTACTGGAGTTGTCAGAGGCTCCATCATGACAAACAAGATACAATAAACGCCGACCATATCTAGCTCATTTGTCCTGAGGTGTAACCGTGGATTGCCATAAAGCGTTGCTGACTTTGTGAGACTGGATCACCGGTTCAGAGAGACTCGAGTTGCAATTGTGGTATTCTGCCCACAACGAGCAGAGGGCCGTGAGAGTATTCATTCACCTTGTAAATGGTCATTTTAGCTTCTACTGGCTCAAGAAAATAATTTAAAAATAATTGAAAGTTGGTGTACATTTACTTCCTTTCATTGTTCAAAACACAAATCTTTAGCATGTGCTGGTTGCTGGTCTTAAGAAGCTTCCAGAACATCTCAGTCTCCACACTAGAGGAATCTGTGAAGGCCACAGATGAGAACAAGGCTGTAGCACAGCCACAACGATGGGTGCTGCTCATCAATCTTGTTCCATTTATCCTTGTTTCGGCATCCTAAGAAGCGTTCCTGTTGTCCCCGAAGTTGGAGCGTTCATCGTTCAGAAAGTTTTATGATGTTTACCAGTTTTAAATTTAAACCTGCATTTGTTTTTCAGGTTCCTCCTGACACGCTACGCTGAGCCTCTGGGTCAGTTTGCTGCAGCCTCTCAGTCGTGTAACTTCTCCCTCAGGTTTTTCCACTCAAACCAGAAAGATGTAAGTCTGTTTTACTCTAAAGACGTTTCAGAGACTTCTCATGCATCCTCGTTTCTTATTTATGTGCGTCGCCCTACATCCTAGACCTCAGAGTACATCATCCAGGCATACAAGTACGGAGCATTTGAGAAAATCCCAGAGTTCATCGCTCTCAGGAACAGGTTGAACCAGTCGCTGCATTTTGCCCAGGTCCGCACAGAGAGGATGCTGCTGGACTTGTTCCTAGAAGCTGATATGTAAGAACAAAGAAAACAAGCAAATTTAGAGTATTTAGTGTCATGGAGTTTCTTATTGGGATGTTTTTGTTTTTCAGTGTTTTGAGTCTAGAGGAGAGCGTGAAGGCCATGTCTTTGTCTGCAGAAGAGGATGACATTCCCTGGGACAGTTTAAGGGACAACAGAGACCTCACTGTGTTTACCAACTGGGATCCTAAAGAAAAGTATGGAAAGATATTTTTATACAGAATCATAAAGTCATCTAAATGGATCTGTGTGTCCTCCTGTTTCTCCCACAGACAGTTAACTGATGGACACCGGATTCAGTCTCTGGAGGAGGAGACCGTGTGGCTGAGGATACGTTCTCAGGTGTTGCGCCTCCTGGCCTCGATGGTTGCTCTGGGTCACACATCCTCACAGCAGAACTCTGAGATATCCAACGAGAACGGAGTCGGAGACAAAACCTCTGTCGTCAGCAGCCTGCTGTTCCAGCTCAATCAGACACTGCAGACAGCAGCGCAGATGGCAGAAAAACAGATCCAGGTACCATTTCCTCTTTTCCTCACATACGTGATCTCCAGACATTTTCACCATTATTGTTGGTGCATTAGTAGAACTGTTTAAGGTGCTTTGAGTCTAATTATACCATAAAATAAACTAGATACATGTGGTTAGGGTTAGCTGAGTGAGAATAAAAAACATGCAGCAACGTTTTCAAAGTTTAAAAAGTGTAGAACAGAAAACAATCAATAAGCAGAGATTAAATGTAGACAAAGCTAACTCATCAATCAGAGAGGAGTTAGAAATAGTTATTAAAGTCGAAACTATGATTCGATGTCACAAAATCAGCCACAACATGAACGGATTTTCCAAATTAGCTGAGATCAGGCCACATTTTAAAAGATCAGTGTTTTAATCGAGGGGAAAACTGCGCCTGCCAAAGTGAAGCCAATGCAGAAGTGGCAGAAATTACAGTTCCTTTTCAACTTGTGTAACGGAAATGCTAACTATAGCTTCTAGAAACTGTGAATAAATATGTCAAATTCACATTTCACACTTAGGATCTGTAAAACTCTCTGGTTATAATTGTTTTTATAACAATAAATATTAGAAAATACCAAAATGAACACTGACATTTTGAAATTGTGACTCTCAATATTAATAAAATAAAACAATCTGTTTAATGCACAGTAATATTTGTGAACATAACAGGAAATGACATCATACCATCAAAACATTAAACAGTGTTAGTCCTATAATACGAAGCTTGAAATTATGAATACTGAGGGGCGTGTCCTTTTGATGGACAGGTAGCGGATGAGCCGTCAGCGCTAGTGCTAGCAGCTTGTCCGCTGCTTGCTCCACGGGAGGCCTCTGCCTCATGTTAAAAGTGTTACAGCTTAGAAGGTAGAGAGTGGCCTTCGCCAACCTCACCGTCCAAGATGGCGGTTGTAGGATTCGCTCTTTGGAGGACAATGTGGGTTTGTAAAAATGCAAAGCTGCTTGGTTTTCTTTAAAGCGTTTCAGCCTTTCATTCACACAGACATGACGGTTAGGAGCCCTGAAACCATCTGTTCTAGAACAAGCACCACTTTTGGTTTCATGTACAAAAACCTATAATTTTGAAAGCACTTGTTGTACCCGGTCAGCTGAGTCTAACGCTTGGTTAAATCTGAATGTTGTGGATGACTGGGACACCAAGGGAATGTGTCAAAGTGTCAGAAACACCAAGAAAGTAGCTCTGGAAATAAGAAAAGCTCAACAAAATGAATAAACCCTTTTTGATTGCAGTATCCCCTCCTGGGACCGCCCTCCACCCCTCTGGCCTCAGCTCTGTCCAGCGGCAGCTGTCAGTGTCAGGTTGCAGCCCTGCAGCTTTCCCTCCACCTGCAGCAGCTGGAGTCGTCCGGGCTCGGTAAGAGAAACGGATCAGAACCCAGATGAATGGTGCTCAACCTTGAATTCTGCCTGACACTTCCTGTTTTTCCTTCCTAGACGAGTCGTCTGAGCTCCAAACTCAGATCTGTAACGTTTTTAAATCACTAGTAATTCAGCTTCAAGGTGAGCCAGCATTTGTTTTAATTCTAGTGTTTATCAGCAGAGACCACGGTGCTGCCTTCATGTGCTCCATGTTTTCTTATTTCCACAGAAATTCTGAATAAATGCAAAGGAGATTTATTGGAAATGAAAGAAAGCAAATTAAAACCCCAGCCCTCCTTATTAGAAACTCTAATCTTCTTTGTTGAGGTAAAAAGGACTCTTTACTTCCACACACAAATGTCTGCTCCTTTTTAAATGTGTCATGCATCGATCTTCAGACGGTGAGCATAGTGTTGTGGACAGCTAGTTACTGTGCCAAGATCCTCCGACCGCTCAAGACAAGTTTACAAAAGAAGAAGAAGAAGAAAAAGGATGCTAACACAGCACTGGTACACCTAAAACCATATTACTGAGTCCATCCGTACGTGGACAAGTCTAATGTTAGCTCCTCTCTCGTAGCCTGCTGTCGTGTGTGGGTTCCAGGAGTTGACAGGGAGCTTACAGGACCTGCTCACTCAGGCATTGGAGCATATAAAGGGCCAAGAAGTGGGCATTACAGCCCTGAAACTCACCAGTTTAACCTTGGAAGGATGCACACAGGTTAGTGCGCACGCACACACGCACACACACACACCAGGCGTGTATATTGTGTTTTATTCATCCAAGGAGGGAAAAAGGTCCAAAAATGGACTGTTTTAATAGAAGAAGAAGAAAATAACATTTCTATAGCACCTCTCAAGATAAAAATCACGAGGCGCTTCACAAAAACAAAAAAAAATGTAAAAATATAAAAAAGCATTTAGAAAATGTTTAAAAGTATATTTAAAATGAGCAAAAATAGGCAATTGGAATTTAAAAGAAAAATGTTAAGAAAGAGAGAGAGTGAATAGGAAAGAGGGAAATCAGTGGATCCTGAGAAAGATGGAATAGGTGGGGAGAGCTGAATAATGAGAGTGGTGATGAAGGTCATACAAAAGCCAGCTTGAACAAGTGAGTCTTGAGCTGTTTTTGAAGGAGACCACTGAGTCCACTGATCTCAGGCTCAGGGGGAGAGAGTTCCAGAGTCTGGGGGCCACAGCAGCAAATGGTCTGTCACCTTTGGTCTTTAGCCTGGTGCTGCACAACCAGTAGGCTTTGATCACTGGACCTCAGGGACCTGCTGGGGGTGTAAGGACTAAGAAGATCACCAATGTAAGATGGTGCTTGTCCATGTAAGGCCCTATAGACCAGAACCAGGATCTTGAAATGAACCCTGAAGTTGACTGGCAGCCAGTGATCTGGAGGAGAAGCGGGGTGATGTGGGTGTGTTTGGAGGACTTGGTCAGAAGCCGAGCACAGGCATTCTGAACCACCTGTAGACGGTTCAGGGAGGTTCTGCTCAGACACGTGAAAAGAGAGTCACAGTAGTCTAAGCGTGAGGAGATGAAGGTGTGGAGAACTGTCTCAAGTTCAGAGCGGGACAGAATGGGACTCAGCTTAGCAGTGAGTTCAGAGTTATGTTTATTGCTAAGTCAGTTGCTGCACTGACGATGGGTTTTTGGTGCAGGAGGCAGATGGCTTTGATAACAAATATAAACATAGAAGTATATAAATGTCTGAACGAATTTACATAATATGGAACAGATTATGTGCAATGACTCTAACTGCTAAGTAATAAGGTTTGTAAGGTGCAGTGAACAGTTTGTGTTATTTTTCTATGTTGGAGATGAGGAGGCAGCTCGGACACATGGGGCATTTTATTCTGGTGGATTACAGCGTCCTCCCTGAGGGAAGAGGCTCTAAGCAGACTGTGTCCAGGATGGGATCTGTTGGTCATAATCTGTCTTGCCCACCCTAAGCTTCTGAAGGTGTCCAGGTTCTGCAGGGGGAGCGGGTTGCAGCCCATCACCTTTTCTGTAGATCAGGTGATCTGTTTACCTTTGACAGTGGCTGCAGCATGCCAGAGATAGGTGAGAGGATGGACGTGATGGTCGTGTAAAAGTGATTTATCACTTCTATTATCAGGTTGAATTTGTGCTGCTGCTGCAAAAAAAAAAAAAAACCTTTGCCATGCTTTTTTTGTGAGGGAGGTTTGTGTTAAGCTCCCACCTGATGTTGTAAGAGATGATGGTTCTCATGAAGCAGTAGTGTCCACCAGCATGTCTCTGAGGAAGAAGGGAGCAGGTGGGCCTGATGTCCATGATCATCTCCACAATTTTGACAGTAATTAGCTCCAGGTTGTTCAGTCTGGTTCTTGATCTTGCATCTGTAAGATGACTTGTGTAGATTCCAGATTTAAGCCATGTTTAGGGTGATGTCATCAGCAAACTTTGGCAGTTTAATAGACAGATGGCTGTGGGGCCAGCAGTTGGTTTATGAGGAGAGGAAATGGGGGAAAGGACACGGCATTGAACCGTTTCATAATCCTTCAGGTTTAGTCCTGGTGGGTATTCTGTAACGTAATCATTCACCAATGTAGGAAAATCTAAGATCTAAACTAAACGACTGTTTCCAGCTCAGCCGGAGCAGTTAGAAGAGGGTTGATGCTGTCTTTGTGTGTTTCAGGAGGAGGCGTCGTTTACCAAGGCTGCTATGGACAAGGTGCAGAGCAGTTACCTGCGTTCGCTACAGGAGGTGGGAGACCTGCTCAGAAAGAGAGCAGAGACTATAAAGAACCTCAAAATCTGAACACACACAAAGCAGACTCACGATGACTGTACAACACCACCACCACCACCCCAACCCCCGCTCTGTCAGCCCACCAGCTAACTCGTGTGTCCTCTGTACCGGACCTTGTCATGCTCTGTCCTTTCTGACCTCTTACTGTTTTTTTTTTTTTTTGTGTGTGTGCGTGTGCGTGTGTGTGTGTGAACTCTTGTCTGGATTTTTTTCCTCCTACATGCCAACTCAAACCTCTGGAACATCTAAATCTCTTATAGCACATACGCCTGTAAGTTAAATCATGAGTTTATACAGCTAAATAAAAATAAAGCAACCAGCTG